TTATCAAATGCTGCTCTATACTCTCCACACAGCAGACAAAAGTGAGCCGCTCCTTCTTGCAATGGGATGTATTTTAAAGCAGGGAGTGGTACAAAGAAATCAATATTTGCATGGGCTGGCAGAGCTGGAACTGCCACTCTCCGACGTGCCGCTGAGTGTGTGCGAGCGCGCCTGCATATAAATGTACACATGTGAGCGTAGGTTTCATATTACTGTCAGCTACAGTAAATTGCATGCAGCTTTTCGCAGCCAGGCCCATTCATCCAAGTCCTTTGCTGCCTGCATTCCTAGACAGCGTTACAATGGACAGTGAAAACCTGAGAAGCCACTCACGGGTCCCCTGCTTTGTCTATGGCAATGTATGTGAGCGTATGCATCTTATGGCTTTTGTTGCATGTTCTGCTGTTGTTTCTTCTCCGATGTGTGTCCGGCTTGAGGCTACAGAACTTCAAGGAGTTCAATTTGAAAGGGCTAAAGGGTGATTGTTGTGGGTTACGATGTAGTTTAGGACCTGGCAGATCTGGTTCAGTCCAGATTCTGTCCCCATGTGGTGCTGGTCTTGTTCACATCTGGTTTAGTCCTGTTCTTTGAGGCTTGAGGAGGAGGGAGACAAAGAGTGGGACCTGGTTTAGACCGAGACTGGTCTTGGTTTAGTGCTGACCGTTATCTTTGTCCTGGATTTTCCCCTGTTGAATAGTTTTCTATGGCATGTTACTTACCGCAAATACTCATGCAACTTTGAATGGAGAAAAGTATTCGTGGAAATTGTATTAGATTTTGGAAAGTATTGTGATTCTTAACAGTATATTCTCAAAAGCAATATTCACACTATTTTGGTAAATAATCTGTGCTAAAACATGCCTGTATGATATTAACATGTCCAGATATTACCACATTGTTTTTTTTTTGGGTATACCACTTTGCCTGTATTGACACTTGTATATTGATATATAATATGATAATGATAATGAGTACAATTTTGTATGTAGTTGCTGAGAAAAAGCACAACTCTCATTTCCTCTCATTCAAAGTCTCATCACCTACAAACTTACTGTATATATGAAAACAATACTCACAATACTTGCATTTATAACACATGTTTGGACATTTTTCATTTTTGGACATGAAATTACTACTTATTGTTGTATTTACTTTTATTTACCACTATTGTGTGTGAATTTTGTTATAGATGGATAGATTGAATTAAAAAAGTTTCATAAAATAATCTATAAAAACCTTTTTATGTAATACTTTTATGTATCTGTACTCACATGTTTGCAGCTGTACTCTAAATGGACTTACTAGCAATAACATCGCTATACTTTTACTTGAGTAAACTTCGATCTTTGCAAATATTTCGCCAAAATATTTGCAAAGATTGCCCTCAATGTGAAGAATTTCAGTAAGGTAAAAATCCTGCTGTTTCTTTGTCCTGCACCTGTTGTGAGGCCTCTTTTTACCCCTTTCTCACTCGCTGCTCGCTGGGGAATAGCTGAGAGAGAAGCACAAAAGCTTTGACTGTCCACGTCCACAATGTCTCTGTTTTCATATTGACTTTCAATGCGGCGTGCCATCTGATACGCGGGGCTGCCACTAGCTTATGTTACACCACAATATTTGCTTAATTTGCAAACTTGAAAAGAGATTGTTTTGGGAAAGGATGCAAGCTGTGGTAAAACAGTGCAGCTGTCCATTTTACTACAATCCGCCAGAAAGTGTCGGGGTAGAACTGTCAACCCGTAGTATATTTCTATCATAGGCTTTTACCAAATGGCTGTGATGAAGCTTGATGGTAAAAGTGCCTCAAACCAAGTCATATAGATGTCCTACACTGCAAAAATGATGAATAATAGTCAAAAATTCATTTTAGCACATTTTATACTGCCTTAAAAAAAGATTTTCTTATGGGACAAGCAATTATCTAGTCAAAAGATACAAGAAATGTCTCCCTTGGAATTAGAAAATAAAGCAATAGTTCTTGAAATAAGACTAAAAGACTTTGTCCCATTGGCAAATCTTGTTTGCTCAAATTAAGATGAAAACTCCTTGATTCAAGCAATTATTACCTCATATTTTATCATTTTCTGCAGTGCACTGAAGTCGATTTCAGTTCTAAGCTTCAAGTAGATAAAGTGACTCCAAAAGTGATCCACCCAATGCTTGAGAAAACCATTAAAAGGTTGATTAATGGATATCTCATGTTTTAGATCTGCACTTTACTTTCAGTGCAGCAAACTCACTCCAGAAGTTCAGTGAGGATCTTTGAATAATCCAATGTTGTCCTAAATGACTGATGATGATAAATAGAATGCACCTGTGTGTAATCAAGTCTCCGTATAAATGCACCTGCTCTTTGATAGTCTCAAGGTTCTGTTTAAAGCGCAGAGAGAACCATGAAGACAAAGGAACACACCGGGCAGGTCCGAGATACTGTTGTGGAGAAGTTTAAAGCCGGATTTGGATACAAAAAGATTTCCCAAGCTTTAAACATCTCAAGGAGCACTGTGCAAGCAATTATATTGAAATGGAAGGAGTATCAGACCACTGCAAATCTACCTAGACCCGGCCGTCCCTCCAAACTTTCATCTCAAACAAGGAGAAGACTGATCAGAGATGCAGTCAAGAGGCCCATGATCACTCTGGATGAACTGCAGATAACTACAGCTGAGGTGGGAGAGTCTGTCCATAGGACAACAATCAGTCGTGCACTGCAAAAATCTGGCCGTAACCCGTAGTGAAAGAAAGAGTGGCAAGAAGAAAGCCATTTCTCAAAGATATCCATAAAAAGTCTTGTTTAAAGTTTGCCACGAGCCACCTGGGAGACACACCAAACATGTGGAAGAAGGTGCTCTGGTCAGATGAAACCAAAATCAAACTTTTTGGCCGCAATGCAAAACGATATGTTTGGCGTAAAAGCAACACAGCTCATCACCCTGAACACACCATCCCCACTGTCAAACATGAATGAATGAATGAATGAATGAATGAATAGTTTTTATTATTGTGCCTTGCATACACACTGTATGCCCAGCCCTAGTGGGCTTATAAGACACCAATAACACCAACAAAAGCACCAGATGCCAGACAATAGGCACACTATACAATACATAAACTTATTTAAACAAACAAGTCTGCCGCCTCAACCAGGCTTTACAAACAAAAGAAGCCAATTTAAACACATTAGAAGTAAACAACCATTTCATCTTGTCGTCATCACTGATCCAGAACATTTCAGGCTTTTGAACAAACAATTCACCAAACAATACATTTCTAAGATCATCGTACTGTGGACAATATAACACAAAATGAGTTTCACTTTCAATCTCTCCTAACTCACACAGTCTACAGAGTCTGTCCTCTTCAGGAGTTTGAGTGAACCTGCCAGTTTCTATGGCCAGGGGAAGGATGCCAGTTCGCAGCTGAGCCATCAAAGATCTTTGGTCCCTTGTCAGGTTTGCCTTTACATACAACTCAGTTTCAAATACATCTTTAATTTGTCAAACATGGTGGTGGCAGCATCATGGTTTGGGCCTGCTTTTCTTCAGCAGGGACAGGGAAGATGGCTAAAATTGATGGGAAGATGGATGGAGCCAAATACAGGACCATTCTGGAAGAAAACCTGTTGGAGTCTGCAAAAGACCTGAGACTGGGACGGAGGTTTATCTTCCAACAACAATGATCCAAAACATAAAGCCAAATCTACAATGGAATGGTTCACAAATAGACATATCCAGGTGTTAGAATGGCCAAGTCAAAGTCCAGACCTGAATCCAATCGAGAATCTGTGGAAAGAGCTGAAGACTGCTGTTCACAAACGCTCTCCATCCAACCTCACTGAGTTCGAGCTGTTTTGCAAGGAAGAATGGGAAAGAATTCCAGTCTCTCGATGTGCAAAACTGATAGAGACATACCCCAAGCGACTTGCAGCTGTAATTAAGGCACTGTAAATCCCATTATGTTTGAGAAAATTATTATACTGGGTCATATGGTCAAAAATATGCATTCTTTAATGACATCACCTTTTAATGTTTTAACCAAATATGCGTAGGTTTGTTTTTATTCTCCTTGGACACAAATTTGGAAGGCACAACCATTATTAATAGACATTTTAATACACCACACTTGGCTACAATTCGCGACTATCATTGGAAGAGTTGAAGGAATTGCCCTGCAGTCATTGTCTGGAGCGGTCCTCTCGGTGGTGTCGTGGTGCTCCTTAAACGCTGCCAGATGCAAGTGTCCACAAACATCTGGTCAACAGTTTGGTCCGAGCTCAAAGCCCCATCTGTCCCAATGACATGAAACACTTCCTGCTTTAGATGTGGTGGTGGGGGGGGGGGGGGGGGGGGGGGGTAGGGACAGAGTGTGGGCAGAGTATGGGCAGAGTAGGGACAGAGTGTGGGCAGAGTGTGGGCAGAGTGTGGGCAGAGTGTGGACAGAGTGTGGACAGAGTGTGGACAGAGTGTGGACAGAGTGTGGACAGAGTGTGGGCAGAGTGTGGGCAGAGTATTTGCAGCTCCTTCAGAAGTAATTTTTGAGGGGGTCCGATATTGATTTTAACATTAATAATAGATAGTTTGCTTGAAGAAGATAAGTTTTTCATTCGTCCCACAGTGGGGAAATATCAGTTCGATTAACACTCACTTACACTTCAAGGCATGAAAGCACATGTATTTGTGTGTGAAAGACTGGAGTTTACATGTTCTCCCCATGTCTGCATAGCTTTCCTCCAGGTGCTCCGGTTTCCCTACTACCAAAAAGTTGGGGAAGTATTACTGTGTTACGTTCAACATGTAATATTATGACCTGAGTTGATTTGCAGTAAATAAGAACTGGTCAAAGGGACATGCCACAACTGAGCTTATTGCCAATTTCCCACCCGTATAATACCCAACTACTAAACAAATGCATCTTGCTTTAGGAATGACATCAATTATTAATCAAGTGCATTTTCTGGGTGCTGTATTCCGTACATTAAATGGGCTTCTGTGTGTTTTCAGACGTGCTACATCTGCGAGGACCACGGCAGAGAGAGCAAGGCGGCGTGTGGAGCCTGCATGACCTGCAACAGACAGGGCTGCAGACAGGCCTTCCACGTCACATGGTACATTTACGTTTTGTCTTTGATATTCTTTCATTAGAACAAAATGCTCTTAGAACAATGTCTCCAACGTTTTTCAACAAAATTGGCAGAGAGCTTCCCTTTTTTGCAGTTGTAGTAAAACTGTATGTAATAACTGCAGAAAATCATGGACAACACTCATGTAAAATATACCCTAATATTATTCAAAATGTAATTATTTAGGATCATGCGTTAAATTGCTTAATATGTTGGGGAGCTACCTGAAAGGGGTTGGCAATCTTTTGGTAGCTTCTACAGTTTGGAGACCACCGCTTTAGAATGTCATAGCAGCACCCAGTACACAGAGCACCAGCCACTAATTTGGAAACAAGCAAATTAATATCCTCCCTCTGGTGGTAGCACAGGGAGTTACAAGAATAAAGCATTTTTCACCATATTGTATCCATTCAAGATATTATTAACCACATTTATGGACATTTATCAACATTTATGGACTGTGGTCATCTGCCCCTTATGGACTAATGGCTCGATGTGTTTTTTATCATCACATTTTTTGAGTTTGAATTGTTTGCTTCTTTGATCTGTGTTGGCAAATTCAACAATTTTGTAAAGTCCTCCGAGATTACTGTTGTGATTTAGGGCTATACAAGAAGAAAAGGTAATTGAATCAAATTATTTCACTCTCTGAAACATGAAATGGCTAAGTAAAGATATTGAATGGCCAAACATGATCCATGATATGTCTTCTTTAATCTGCCATTTAAAAACACAATATTGACATAACCGTTGCATTTCTTTGGGTATTCAGTAACGCTGGCAGCAAAATCTCTGGCAGCTCTGATACTACATCCACAGAATTGATTTTGTCTGGTCTAAGAAAGGGAAGTCCAAATATAGCACAAAGAGGTTTCTGCGATCCAAAAGTCCTGGTGAAATTCCTCTTGGTTGGACATATTTGGGTGCTGCAGGGAGGTTGTTAGTGCTGCAGGATTTAGGGAGGTTATGAGTTCATCTTGGGTCAAATGCAACAGTGGGAGTGATTCATTGTTCTCCCACTGGCCCTGAATTTGTGACCCCAGGTGAACAGGCCTCCCCCTCCGCTGAAGCTGGCACAAGTTCAAAGACAGTGTCATTAGTGCAAAGTTGAGAGATTGGGTCTGCTCAAATTATGTTCTCACTGGTGAAACTCGTAAACGGAAATGATCTTTCAAAGGTGATTTATTTTTGCAACTCAACGTATAATGTGAAGATAATGTTTGATATTGACTCACACCAAGTGACAGATGCCAAGCCTGTGTGTGTTAAATGTTGATGATTAAGGCTTAAAATTATGGCTTTTGGCTTATGGCACATTTTCAAATTATTCAAAATTTTCTGAGATCTTTTATTTGGAGTTTTTACAAGCTGTGAGCCACTTATCAACATTATAACAAATAAAGGCTTGATTTATCTTCAATTATATTAAGTCATATACTGTATTAGTTTCACATTGTAAGTTGAATTACAGATGTAAATGGACTTTTTAACAATATTCTAATTTTCAGAATTTCGCTTATTGATGTGCATTGGTTTGCTTATATTATAGAACATGATTTCACAGTAATGGGAAATTATATATAGAATTACATCTGGCATACATATAAATATGTATATACATGATATAAGGGGAGGACTTTTCTCTGTCACTTTCAGTAAGCTTACAAAAAGTGATACATAAAGGTTTGCAGTCATGAATAACCAGGATTTACCAATTTTTGGCAAATAAAAATCCAATTTCCTGACTAAATCTCCACATTCTAAAACATGAAATATTAAAATAAATATTCTCGTTTTCATTTTTATAGCCACAAATAATGCCTAATTTTTCTCCTTTAACTTGACCAAACCTGGAGCGACCCTGGTGTTATTTTTGTTATGAGAGCCATTTGTTTGTTTTTTATGTTTTTTATTTTATTGAGCCGTGCGTTTCTACGGTAACACTCTCTTCTCCCTGGTCTCAGCGCTCAGATGGCCGGTTTACTGTGTGAGGAAGAGGGCCCTGAGGCAGACAACGTAAAATACTGCGGCTACTGCAAGCACCACTACAACCGCATGGTACGACACTACGGATATGAAACTCAATGAATGCATGAATGAATGAAGCCAATGTTAATGTGGTCTTGCAGCAAAAGAAGTTACGCTCCAGTGAAAACACAAGCACCTCCTTCAGTTACCCCAGGGGCCGGCCCACCACTCCACCTCCGGACAAGCACCATCACCACCACAATCCCAGAAAGGTAAGAAGGATCCTGAATGAATATATGATTATAAATGGGGATATTTCACTTATTTCATAAGTTACAGACAGTCGGAATGAGGAGCACACAGCACAAGATAAATGATTAATAACTGTATATCAAAATGAAATAAAATCTCTATCATAAAACGAAGCAGTGTAAAATCTCAATCTTTAGAATAATAAGGAAATACGTCTAAAATCTTCAACTTCAGCATGACGAAGAAGCAATACCTAAGTATAAAATGAAAGAAATATAGTCCTTTATTCGTCCCACAGTGGGGAAATCTCAGTTCGATAAATACACATATACACATCAAGGTATGCAGAGTACTTTTACTTTCGCGTTAGATAGGCAAAGTGGGTAAAGTGTCTTGCCCAGGGATACTTTACCCACTTTGACATCAGTGGGAGTCGGTGGAGAAGGTCTCGCGGTGGGCTCAAACCCACGACCTTCAAGCTAAAAAGCCAATGCTCTACCAATTGAGCCACTGTCGCCCCCACAATACCCACAAAATACTGTATATTCTAGTGCAAGTGATATATAGTTGTGTGTATACATCTGTACAGCTGGAAATGTGTGCTTTAAGATTTAGGAAGAATTTACAAAATCAAGGTATTGTTTCTGATTGTATATTTCTGATGATTAAATATTAGCACTGACATTGTTTGTGTGTAAAGAAAGTATATTGTAATTGTCCTTTCAACTCTACTTAGTTTGAAAAGCAGCATCCCAGCAGGTAGCATAGATGTTCCTCGATAAGGAAAAACTTTCCTCTGTGGAATTTGCACACTTTGTACTCTCCCATGTTTTCCTCATCATCCTTAAATCATTGCTTTTCCCAGCCAGAGAAGGGCACACATTCTTTTTGGCGCGGAACAGTAAAAAATAATAATACATTTGTCTTTCATACTCCATCTGTTCCTTTTCTTTAACATGTTTTGTGTATTATCTCAGAGTCACAAAGACAAGACTCGACCGAAAGAAAAAGACCGTCATAAGAAATCTTCCGACAGCCTGAGCTCTTCTGTGATGAGCAGCAGCATAGAAAAGGTAAGTTTTAAAAGTCCGACCGTTGTCTCCCGCTTTACCTGTTGCCGGGTCGCGAGGCAGCAGTCTGAACTTGGGGGATTTAGAGATGTTCCCTGGCCAGCTGAGGGAAGAAGAAAGAAGAAGAAGAAACTTTATTTATATAGCACCTTTCACAGATAAAATCACAAAGTGCTTCACAGGGGCACAACAATAAAAGTTACAGAGCAATATTAAAACAAATTAATTAAAACAATCACAGCCTTTTCAACTAAAAGCTCGTCCAAACAGCCATGTCTTCAGCTGTTTTTTAAAGGAATCGACAGTGTCGGTCACACGTAGCGACAGAGGAAGGACATTCCACAGTTTAGGAGCAACAACTTCAAAGGACAGGTCACCTCTGGTTTAAAATGGGTCCTTGGGACAGCAAGGAGGTTCTGACCCGAAGACCTAAGGTTGCGACCGGAGGAGTAAGGGCACAGCAGGTCAGACACGTATTTGGGAGCCTGACCATTCAGCGCTCTAAAAGTCAATACTAAAATTTTGAAATCAATTCGAAATTTGATGGGAAGCCAGTGCAGAGAGGATAAAATAGGAGTAATGTGTGACCGTCTGCTAGAGCCTGTTAAAAGCCGCGCAGCAGCATTTTGAACCATTTGAAGACGATTCAAAGCAGATTTGTTAAAACAAGTAAAAAGGGAGTTACAATAATCTAAACGAGACGAGATAAAAGCATGACAGTGGGTCATGAAGGGACAGTCTTTCCTCATGCCCAGAACCCATCCCCAGGGAGGCATTCTAAACAGATGCCAGAGCCACCTCACCCGGATTCTCTCGACGTGGAGAAGCAGCGGCTCTACTCCGAGCTCCTCTCTTGTGACCTTAACTAGTCCCCAGCCTTTCTGAAGAAACTCATTTTGATCTTTTGTATCTTCTCCTTTCGGTCATTCCCCAAAACGCATGAACTTGTAGGTGAGAGTGGGAACATCTATGCCTTTGCAATACCAACATGCTTGCAATACCACCCCGGGCCGATGGCGGTTGACCCGGAATAAGAATTAGCCAATGCTAACATATAGCATTGGCAGACCTCTCGAAAATGTCTTTACAGGATGGTCCAAAAATTGGCTCTTGGCCCAAAGTTCCGTTCCATGTGTGTCAATGCTGAGGGGAGAGAATTTTTTTGGACCAGTCTAGTTTAGTTGCTGTGAATTTTTGAAGTCACTCGTCAAATGAATGCGTTTTTTCACATTTTCCAGCCCCCGCGGCCATTTTGAAACTGCCCATAAACTGCGGAAGTGGTGGCACATTATTTAGAACGGCAGAGATAGGCGTGACTATGTCCGTTGATATTTACAGTCTATGATTAAAACTAGAGACTTCAACAACTTTGGATTAAAATAATTATCTTTAAAACCATTCTTTAGTAAATAAGTAAGTTCTGTTTTGTTTCTCATCAGATTTCTTCCAGCCACCACATCAGCAAAGACAGTGAGAGTAAATCCAAGAAGCTGAGTTCACACATTCACAGTCATCGCACCAAGAAACCAGGAAGTACAGGGAAGAGCTCGTCCTCCTCTCGCTCCTCCAGCCCCTTCAACTCAGGTAACATCAGTCTGTGGTCACAACATGCAACAAACGCACTATAACAAAATCTATGTAAGACTTTTGAACAATCAAAGAGCCTTGTTTTCTTTATTTGGATGTTGGTAATGTTACTTCCTGGTTGGCCATGGGTAGCTAATATGATAAAGGCCATAGTTTATGAATTAACAAAAGCTGAGGTTTCACGACTTTTCAAAACTCAGCGCCTGTATTTCCTGAATATTAAAGTGTTTGAATGATTCCTGGAAATATTTTTACCGTCCCACTGAAGCTTCAAGTTCAAGTCAAATTCAAACCTCTGCTTTAAGTTTCAAGTCTTTCAAGTAACAATTTCCAAAAATACAGTCTTGATTACAAAGAAGAAGTGGGGAGTGATGTGTTCCAGTTTCTGTCCTCTATATTTAGACTCTGAAAGTACAAAGGAAACAGCAAATAGGAAACAGTTTTGTCATGAATCAAAGTCCTGAGTCATTGAGAGACCAGTGACCGCCTCAAACTTCTGAAAAACTGGGACGATTGTGACAGGCTCATCTTTTTATTATGTTATATTCAACAATCTCCTTCCCTTTGAGTGTAGTCTAGACATTTCACACTGTTTACTTGGGAATAAACTTAAAATTAGGACCAAAATGATGGCACAAGACGACTGAAAGAAGTGATTACTATAGAGTTGTTTCTAGTTTTTCCATCAGTTTTAGTTTAGATCCACAATTAATATTTATGCTAATAAAGCTGGGATACCAACATTTCAAACCACAACAAACTATTTAATAAAATGGGACTAACTATTTCCTTGCACATAGAACAGTTTGGTTTTATCCCTAGTTTTTCACACATATGAACTGTGTTGAGTCACATCTTTAGATCAGCTGGATTGCTCTTGATCAGCCCAAAGAGTCAAATAGTTAGTCATACGGCTCTTTCTTACAAATATGTAAAAGACAACAGATGAAAACAGCTGGTTGTGGTATAATTAATTAAGTAGTTTAACTTTTACAACGCATCCCCTCACTCTTACCCCACAAAAAATTTAAGTACTCAAGCTTCAAATCTGTCATTTGTTTATCACATAAAAAAAAAAAAAAATACAATGAGATCCATTATTAGCCCCGTTTCCACAAAAAGTACTTGGCCAGACTCTACTCTACCGGCTTGCGTTTCCTTTATGCTTTAGTATCTTGTACCGTATCCTAGCAATCTACTCACAGAAAACTTGGTAACTATGGCTTCCAGCAGCACTCTGGCCAATCACTGACAGTTTGAACACTTAAGTTCCAGCTCGGCCTGGATAGAACCAGAGTCAAGAAAGTACTAAGAATTTACCTGGTATTGCTTAAAGATGGCCGGTGAAAACGTTCCCAATCGGGGTAGAGTAGAGCCGAGTAGAGTTGGGCCTAGGAGGGCTGGTGTAAACGGGGCTATTGTCTCTTGTTGTTCCGTAGAGTTTTTTGTCCCACATTACGTATTTATTGAGATTCAGTTAATTCTTCATTTGCAGTAAAACCACATTGGAATAACTGTGCAAGGCTACCCCAGTGTGCACCAATACTAAACACCTCTTGCCACGGCGCCTTGTTTTTATTTATTTATGTAATTTTTTAATCCGTGGCTCATTGTTTTCTCAGGCGGTGCTCTGTCTCAGGACCTCCAGCAGTTTTCCTCCTCGCGGCACGAGCGCGACAGAGACCGCGGCACGGACGACCACCACAACAACAACAACAACAGCAGCGACGATCGAAAGGAGCGGCACAGGAGAGCGGCTGCACGGAAAGACGAAGAAGAGGAACAGGTGGAGGAGGAGGAAAAGGGAAAGAAAGACAAAGAAGAAGACAACGACGATGAAGACTCGAAATACCACGAACCTCCGGCCTTGACACCCGTCGATGGACCAATCCCAGCCACGCAGAACCATGATAGAACCGAGCGCAACTCTAGCACCCCGTTTGAAAACAAAGTGACCATTTCCACCATTGGCTCCATCATGCGCATCACTTCTTCGTCCGGTACCAAAATCCGCAAGATCTCCTCCTCCTCTTCCTCAGTGGATTACAAGCCTTCCAAGTCCCTCAAAGCGTCCCAGCTCAGCACGCCTCCCATAATGGAGGAAGCGGACGCGGAGAAGCAGGAAGAAGCGGAAAGAAAGTCAACGCCCCCGCCGTTGTTACCGCGGGAACGCCGGCACAGAGAGAGTAAGAAAAGTCGGCACGGGCCGGGGAGACCGAAAGGCAGCAAAAACAGAGAGAGGAGGGGTGAGGATGAGGAGAAGCACCATCGTCACGTGGAGCCGGTGACCGCCCAGGCTTTACACCCGCATTACCAGACGACAGCTTCCACTACTACTACTACTACTTCTGCTACTACTGCTGCTGTAACGTCATCATCCTTGGTCTTCTCTTCCTCTTCGTCATCATCGTTGGTCTTCTCTTCCTCTTCGCCATCAGCTGGCAGCTTTTCCTCAAGTCGCGGAAATTCCCTTCTAGGCTCTGGTGAGTCTCAAGTAATGCTATATAAAGCTGTAGTTTCTGTTCCGTTTTTTAAGAGAGGAATGCTGGATACTGACTCAGTATTACTGAGTCTGGGTAGTTAGTACTTTTTTGGCTTCATAAAAAATATTTTTTTTTATACCAAACAGAACAGAAAAGTGTTAATCTATTAAAAAACATTTGATCTTATGTACACTTGTAAGAAAGAGCCATGTTAATCACTACATCATGCTTTGGGCTGAAAGCTGATCTAAAGATGTGACCGGCGACAGTATGTGAAAACTTGTGATTTGACCAAACTGTTTTGAGAGCTTAAAACTAGGATTCTATTACATTTTTTGTAATGATTAACACTCCAGCTTAATTTTTTGTATGATGTATTACTGATTTAATCTGCAGGCGACAGTAGCATTGGCCTTTGAGCCTGAAGGCTCTGACTGCCACCCCCTGACCCAGAAATGGATTAAGGGGAAGAAGATGGATGGATTGGTAAATTTGAAATGCTGCCTCCCCATGTTTAGTGCTCCTCAGAGTCTGCGTTGGTTCATATGGCACTAACATGTCACAGATGTACTTTAGTCTCCAGACTTGTACACAAGCAGAGCTGCTTTCCCTCTGAGGTCTAGAGCATCAGATCTGATGCCTGTGCACATGTCTTATAAATGTACAATTTTCTCATGAACGGCAAAAGGCAGCGACTCACTTTTTTTTTCTCCGTGAAGTACACATTTCAGGCATTACAACGCTACTTTTGTTTTGTCTGTGTGACTTGTGGGGGATTTTCTACGTTTGTTTGAAAGTCAATGTCCAATCAGATCGTCGAGCGGTCTCCCGTGAGGTAAAACAGCCAAAACAGTAAAGTTATTTTGCTGACACAGGGACTGCCAAAGATTGTCAGAGAGTAAGATGATTCACTCTCCTGTGTGTATTTATCGTCCCACATGATCTACAAGTGATGTGTGTGTTCAGACTCTGGGCATTACACAAAGATAGAAGGAGACGCAGATGCAGCGCTCACAGGAGCCAGCACCTGGCTGAAGAGTGCGCATTATTGATATAGACAGTAATAAATACAGTAAAATGATATGATGTGTATATGATGTATATAAATAAGATGTTTTTTTTATTTCTTTGTTTTCTTAGTTTTTTTGTTTTACATGTCTTACAGCTGTGATACTGAAGCAATATATAGACAGACAAACTGCTTCAGGAAGGGCATCAGGAGTACAGCGTTTGTTGCACTTGTAGTGGAATTAGTGGAAGACCCTAAATAACATTTCTATACAGTGTAAAAAGTTAGCAATGGCATTTCATTGTATTTTTTCAGTACAAATTGGTGAAATAGAATTTCCGTTTAATTTTTTTCTTTGTCTTCATGATTCCATATTTTTTTTATAATTCATATGACAGCTGTACACTGTGAATATTATAAATCCACAGGTTGTACTGAAAAAAACAAAGTTTACTGCTCTACTCTGCATCACAAGATGACTGTTTTATGAGCAATATTCACAAAGAAAACCAGGCGAGGAAAGTTCCCCAAAATGAGCTTAGATCTTGAAGGGTTAAAGTATATTGACGCCAGTGCAGAGACTTGAGGACTGGACTAATGTGATCATTCTTCCTGGTTCTAGTCAGGACTCGAGCTGCAGCATTTTGAATATACTGCTGTTTCGAGAGACCTGTGAGCAGGCCATTACAGGAGTCTAACCTACTGGTGACAAATGCATGGATAAGAATCTCTAGGTCTGCTTTAGACACTATGTTTTTGATTCTGGCAATGGATGGTAAAAATCTGCTGATGTTACCGATTTGATGTGGCTGTTAAGATAGTCCATTATTACCCCAAGATTTCTAACCTTACAGTATTTGAAGCTTTTAGGGAGAGAGACTGAAGGTGAAAGATAAAGCTTTCATTTTGCTTCTGGGAACTATTACATTCATAAAACAAGTGAAATCCAGAGAGTTGAAGAAGCCTGTTGCAGTGCGCTGTACGTGAGTGGGTGTGTATCCATCCTCCAGCTTCCTGTCAAACAAAGCCTGCTTGTTTACGGCCTGCACTTTGTTTGACTTTTCACTGTTTTCAATCACTAAATCAGAAACAGCAGAAGACCTTAACATCGAGATGATTTGATTCAGAACCTGGACTCTGCGCATTTCTATTCTGCACCAGTCAGACACGGTGGTGGTTTTGTGAGCGTCTTTGCATTTCCTGCCCTATTTCTGCACAAATGCACTCACAGTTAAAGCAACAGTCCACCGGCACATCACAGAGGCTAGATTTTTTTTTTTGTAAAGCACAGTTCGTACACAAGGCAAGATACAAGAAACAATCACACAAGGCAATAAAATCATACATGATCACAGAAGAATTAAGGTGCGATCCTTCAGTGCATAGCTAAAATAAACAGTTTGAGTAGAAGCCTCTCTCACATTTTCAGGAAGACTGTTCAAGATTTCAGCTGCATAAATCTGAAACGCTGCCTCTCCATGTTTAGTCCTGACTCTGGGCACCAGTAGGAGCCCAGTCCCTGTGCTCCTCAGAGTCCCAGTTGGTTCATATGGCACTAACATGTCACCAATGTACTTTTCTATACCATCCAGTAGTTTCTTGTGCTCGGTTCTATCAATAGTATTCACATGCATGTATTTTTGGCCACTGTCACATCTTTTTATCAGCTTTTTTTTTAGGACAGAATTAAAAAAAAAGAGTGGACCATCCTCACTCAGCCAATCAGCTCTCAGCCCAAAGTGTCAAATCGTGACCAGTGAAAAGGGGCAAAAAGCTAATTTGCTCCATTGCTATTGATTTGTGCAGTTTTCCCATAGAAATTCTTGTCATTTAGATGATATATTTAGTCACCAATACAATTTTTGGTCAGCAAGAGGAACCATTGACTAATTAAGTGTTATATGTCTGTTATTTTTGCATCTGTGTTCAAACCGTTTTGTTCTCTTTTCTGTTTATTGGTGAATCGACAAGTATTCCAAGATTACTTCTGTTTTGAATTCGGGGGCTAGGGCTTTACAAAAATAATTAGAATTTGAATTGAACTATGGCCAGCAGTCCTACTTACTACACACTCAGTTCATTTCAATCCATTGTTTTTGTAACGCTAATGTTGATGTCTCCATATGCAGCTTGACTGACAATCTGTGTTGGTAGACTTAAGGTTGTATTTCTAATTTCAAGGTTCAAGGTGACTTTATTTGTACCCATGGGTATATTATTTTTGCTGTTAAAAAGAGAGACTTGGCATCGACACAAAAAATATTCATAAAAACCACATTTACACAAATAACAATAAAAACACAACAGATAAGTTAAGAAAAAATAAGGTAAAAGTCATCAAAAGTCTTACCTGTGTCTTACTCATCTAACCATATTCTGAATTAAAGAAGACCGTTTTAAGCCTAGCATTGAATGTAGAGACTGTGTCTGCTTCCTTGACGTGGATGGGGAGCTGATTCCACCGTATAGGAGCTTGGTAGCTAAATATGCTTATCCTCTGCTTCTATCCAGGTATCTACTCCAGCCTGAAAGAGCCTCTCACTCTGGGCGGGGTCGTGTCCGCTGCGCCCCTGTCTCTGGGTGTGGGGGTCTGCAGCCTTCTCTCGTCCCACGCCTCGTCACTCGCACTCCCGCCTGTCAACGCCGTCTCCAGTTCCCAGGTGCTCGGTCACACTTCAGATAGCGCCGTCTCCCCCCCTGCTGCTTTGTTCCGTCTCCGTGAGCCTCTATAAATAGGCCCAGATACGGAGACATTTTTAGCATTTTAGTCGAACCCAGACTAAGCCGATTCTAACGAGGCCAGCCGTTGTTCATGTTCTGCATTTGTGAGAGGGATTTTGCACAATTTTAGCTCAATGAGAGAGCGAGATGGTTTGAAGCATGCTTGAGCTGAATGCCGTACTTGAACACTTCACCATATGACATGAATCCTTACTATCACTACGGCAACAAAATACAGGTCAGACCTCTGCCCACTCACTGAACAATGAATGCTGTATGGTTTCTTTCTGAGCTATAAAAACACCCACGATTGAATACATATAGATAGATAGATACATAAATTAGCTGTTGTTGACCAAGGACAGACCTGTAATGTAAAAAAAAAAAATCTTGTGTTTATGCTTTTCTGAGCTTTTGGAGGGGGGCTGATTTGAATGAAATAGTTTGGATATTCCTTGCTCGTAGATTTTTCTGAACTAACATATTCCAGTTACTGGTTGAACCAAATATAATGGAGGCCAAGATGCATTCACAATACAACCCACAAAAACACTTATACAAACATTTTATAATGCATTCTATTATGTAGTCAGTTTTTATAAACTAATAATCGTTACAGGGTCTTATAAAAATGTTCTCGTTAGCCGATTTTGTGGGCAAAGCTTGACATTCCTGGACCAAAACATTTATCAATCACAATCTTCCAATCTGACACAAATAATACTGTTTTCTATACTGTACATCTTTTTCCAAATTATTCCTTATTTCTTGATTCTTGCTTCTCATCCCTTCGCTCTATATTAGTGGTGTGTGTGTGCGTTTATGTCACTTGTGTTGTTGTGTTGTTCGCAGGTGCACCCGGTCTCCAGCACCTCCTACAGCTTGGCCGCCACACAGCCCTACTCCAGCTGTCTGTCCTCGGCCTCCGCACTGCTGAGCCAGCCCCACACCTCTCTGCCCGGTACCACGCACTCTTCGCATCAATCTTCTAGGATGAATGGGAAAGGCCTGTGTGTCGCTACTCACTCAGAACGAAAGACTCAAAACTCTGTCCAAACTGAAAATCCACCAAACATTAATCCAGATTATTGGTTCTTGGATTAAATTTGCTCCTAAAATCTGTCCAGCAGAAAGCACACAAATTCAGATATTTTGGCTATACCTGCATGTGAAAGCCAGATCGTGTCAGACATCTGAAGTTAAGCAGGACAGGACCTGGTTAGTACTGTGATGGGAGACCTCTGGGAACACCAGGTGCCACATTGGGGCACTATAAAGTGCCAAACTTTTGTTGTGTCCTTAGGCAAGACACTTCATCCACGTGGTCTAGAATGAGTCTGGTGTGTGCGTGAATGGTTGGTGATGGTCAGAGTCACATATTAGTAGTAGTTTATCACCACCATGTTTGGAGTGAAAGAATGTAAACTGTCTTTGAGGGTCCTGAAAAGTACATTATTATTATTATTATTATTATTATTATCATACAGGCCATTTTGAGAGATTGGAGATCTGAGTAATATAAATATATACAAAAATCCTTTCTATCAAAAGTTATGAAGGATGAGTGCTTCAGTGGGTCCATTTCCATCTGCTCATCAGGATCAGAAGTGAAAGACACTAATAAGCAAAAATGAAAGGAAATGAAATCAACACAGTAATGAAAAATGCATTGATTTTTGCATGGCCATTTAAGTTTACGGTCAGCACACAAAAAGGGCTTAGTCTGCTTTCTTTTGTTCACTGTGTTGCATTTTGATCTGAAGCATTTTGAGGTTTCATGGAAATATAAGGTGCATTGTAAATAAAATTTATATTATTATTACTATAGAAATTATTGGAGAAAATGAGACATCCAAGTCACTCTTGAGAGTAAATTTAAAAAAAAAAGAAGATAGAAATAGCCTACACTTTTCACCCACATGGCCCTGTGTGTCAATGTGTGTATTGTGTGTCGTATTGTGTGTCGATGTGTGTTGATGTGTGTAATGTGTGTCGATGTGTGTATTGTGTGTAATGTGTGTCGATGTGTGTATTGTGTGTCGATGTGTGTATTGTGTGTCGATGTGTGTATTGTGTGTCAATGTGTGTATTGTGTGTCGATGTGTGTATTGTGTGTTGATGTGTGTAATGTGTGTTCGATGTGTGTATTGTGTGTAATATGCTGCAAATAACCAGGAAAAAATCTACGCATTTTATTCATAACCTCTGCCTTTTGACAGCTGGAGGGGAATCCGTTTATTCCAACGTCTCCTAAGGGACGTTTTGAACACATGTGAACGCCTTGTCATATTTGTTTAAGAAATTAGGTTTGTGGGCGAGGCATTCTGTGTGGGTGAAACTGGGATGAGAAAAATGTTGAGTGTCTTGAATGTGTCACTTGTCATTCCAGTTAAAGGCCTAAAGTGAAATGTGGTTTTATTTCAGAGACAGAACTTGACGACTGTCGCTTCCCGTGTCAAGAAACTTCACCGAGAGAAAGTCTTTCCTCACAGTAAGTGCTAGATTTAATAATTTATTCATATTTATGTTTACAGATTTAGTTCTATTTGGATTGAATGTAAAAAATAAACTCGGAATGAAAGGTATCGAGTCATCTGGAGATCTGAATTTACATGAGCTAAGGGAGAAATATGATGATAAATTGACTATTTTGAGATTTCAAGCATGTTCCTCCATTAAAAACCAACCTGGATATGTTTTTTGGATCAATGGGACAAACATGTAGCTCCGCCCCCTCTATCTAAAATCTCCTGGTCCAGTCCTGTATTAGAATAGTGTTATTGTACCATTACATCTCCGCTTTTCTAAAACAAAAGCATTGCCCATAAATTAGTTTTGTCTGTAGTTTTGTGAGTTACTTAATTGTTGTAAAAGTTTGCACCAACGCCAATGTCCAAGTCAACTGGGAATTTCCTTTTTCAACTTCACCCCTTTAAAACATTTTGGTTTTATCACAGCCTTTGTCCTATCTTTAGATCATCTTTCAGCCCAAAGCCTCAAATAGTCACTCACAAGGCTCCTGCTTAGACGTATCCAATATAACATGTTTATTTTCTAATAATAAGCAGCATGTTGTGGTCCAATTTTCCGCAACATTTTACTTTTACATGACTCCTTCTGTTAAGGCAAACGCAATGTATTATTTATGGTTCAAAAAGTCTGTTAATCCCCATTTCCACATGCTTATTATTTCAGACACAGAAAGAACCCCATCTTTCTACGGGTACATGTGTTCACCCTTTGTTCTCTCTTGCAGGTCTCCCATGAGCTGTCTTCCTCTGCTGTTTGAGCACAGAGATGGTTTGGGGGCGGGGTCCAGGCTGCGTCCCGAAAACGTCCCTTTGGCCAGTTCCCAAATCGAGCTGCTCCTCGAGAAACACGGCAACGGAGAGATGGGAGTCAACAGTGAGTCACTCGCTAAAGCCGGGGGATTTAACCGATTTAACGCAGTTCTAAACATGTGTGGAGGAGGATTAGTCTTACTCATTCATTTTTAAACATTCATTCTCTGATCATTTGACAAGAATGAATACAAAAAAATATTCTGAAAATACCGTGGGACTACATTTTACACTGTAGCAACTACACCAGACTTCTTGGTAAGAGGGATACTTTGGTGAACCAGGCTTGTCCAGGGGCCGACAATGCGGATTATAAAAGTGTTTTGTCTGAATTGGGGCTGTTCTGAGATTTGACAGAGCCTTGAAAGAGCTGAAGTTGGCTGAATGACAAATGACCATCTCACCAACTTTATTAATGCCATTAACGGGATTTTGTGACACAACCAAAGACAAATGCCAACAGCTGGATTCCAAAAGGGTCCGAAGCTTTACCACAAGGTACAGAACAGCTGAAGTTGGCTGAATGATACTGTGATCTCAATGACTACTTTGTGTTAGCAAGGCAGAGGACCCCATAAAATGACACACACGGCCGCAATTGTCCCATGGGCCTTAAGTTGAACCTGCCTACATTAGAGCATGCTGGAATGGTGAATGCGTCTTGAACAGTTCTTTTCTAACATATTGATTTAAGAACTAAAATAGAGGAAAAAACAAATACAAAAGCTGGCAAATATGAAAAAGAAATTGTTTAATACATATATTTTGTTTGTGTTTAAGTAAGCTTTTTGTGAACATTGTGGCTTTATCTTTTTATAAAACATATTTTAGTTTTGCTGATTGTCCGAGTGAGGGCTGGTTCTCTCTTCTTCACTGAAAAAGCCGGTCTAAAGATTTGACGGAGGCCAAAAAGAAAATGTGATAGGATCAAACTGTTTAGCTTCTGGTAGTTTCATGGATTTTATCGGGTCATTATTTTTAGTGGTTTCAAAGTAAGTTTCTCTAGTTAGCTTAATACTACTGCTAAAAATGATCAGAGGTTATTGTAGTGTGTCTCGCCGAATTTGTACATTTAAAACACATTCACTTTTCTGTAAACCTTTTGTAAACAAGACTCCAGTTTATAGACGGACGATGCATAAACACAGTATCTTTGTCTTCAAGCAGCAGCAGCACCACTTCTATAGTATCCTATGTTGTGTATAATTTAGTCCTGAGGCGAGTTTCAATGACCGCTGGAGTCTGGTCTAAGTTAACCCCAGCCTGGGCCCCACCGGACACAGTAAGTCAAAACACCTGTGCTGTGGCTGTGTGCTGCGGCAGACAGAAAAGCAGGTCACCGGAGCTGTTTGGAGCTGTCGCACACTTAACCTACTTCCTGTTTGTTCTAAATCTGACGCTGGGAGAAAGTTGAGTGAAAGAAAATGATGCTATTCATCTTCTGTAATCAGTTCATCGTTACCTGCGGTTCTTTCTACATGTCAGCACTGTGTGAAGAGAAACTCACAAAATACACACCGCAAAAAGGGTAAACATTGCTTAAATCGAGTACATTCTGACTGTCTTAAAACCAGATTTGCCAATGGAACGAAGCCATTTAGCCTTATTTCAACCATTGCAAATCTTGTTTTAAGGCAGTCAGAATGCACTCCAATTGAGATAAAAAACCACTCAATTCAAGCAATTTTTAACTTACTTTTCATCACTTTTTGCAGTGTATTGGTTTCTATTTAAATGTAGGGAGACTTTCAAATGCATTCAAGCCATTTTTGGTGTGGCTGTGGCCTTCATAATGTCACAAATCAGTTTTTTTCCAAATGTATGCTTATATTTAAACAATAAGGAATAAGGAGCTACATCCAAAGCCGGTGAAAGAAAGTGCAAAGGAGTTCCCTGCTTGGGTCTTGGCGCACTGTGTGTTGCCAAAGTACACATACAAATACCTGCTCCAGAAAAAGGGGTTGCCATAATCGCCTTTAGGCAAACACTGGTACAATAGTCCAGACCTGTTTCTTAGCACCTGCTTTAATGATTGTTCTACACTTTATTCACTCCAATTGTAAATCTGTGAATGTCAATTTTTCTTAGTAAACAACAAACACCAGGGTTTGTTTGATTGTCCGTCTGTTAGCAAGAAAACTCTAGAAATTATGGGCAGATTTATAAAACCTTTCCAAGAAACCGCTGAAATGGGACAAGGAAGATATGATTAGATTGTGGAGGGGAAATCCAAAGTCCAGCTTGTGGGTCAATCACAGCCCTTTTACCAATAAGCCAAAAGCCTGCTGTATCTTGTTGTAAATACATTTATCTTGAATCCAATCCAATTCTGTAGAGTATATGATGATAATGTAGCTCTGGATAGATACAAGAAGTAAAATGGGGTGGAAAAAATGGGTTTTATTAGTCTTTATCTCACATGGTGACATTGGTGATTGGTTATTTTGTATATATATTTGGCCTATTTAAATGTAGGTCTAACTAACTACATACTGAACATAATAATAATAATGCATCGGTTTTACTGTGTATGTAGTGCCTTCTTGAACACTCAAAGACGCTTCACATGTCATTATTAATTTACTCCATACACTACTACTGTAGCCACAGCTGCCCTGGGACACACTGACGAGTTTGTGCTATCAGCCTCTCCGACCACCACCAACCATTCACGCACACACCAAACTCATTCTGTCAGACCTCTAACCAGTAAGTTAATCAGTCCACTTTCTAACCAGCTCTACGCTCTTTCTGCGCAGTCGTAGAGATGCTCCAGTCGCTCCACTCGCTACAGCAGGAGAACCAGCGCCTCCAGGACCAGATCCTGGGTCTGACGGCCAAACGAGAGAGACTGCAGCTGCTGAACACCGAGCTGGCCGTGCCGTTCCCTCCACAGGCCTTGAACCACGGCGCACCCGGACCACTGCACCCCTCTGCCCAGATGCACTTCCTGTCCGCCTCACAAGGTCAGAACCAGGGCTGGGAATCGGTAGAGATTGCCAATGCGATACAGAGACGTGAGACAGTTACACTCCAAAAATTGATCAAATGTAAGGTGACTTCTTAATCCTAATTTGAGTATATTTTGACTGTCTTAAAACAATATTTGCTAGTGGGACAAAGCCCTTCTGTCGCATTTCGAGAAAGTTTGCTTGTTGAGACATTTCTTGTATCTTTTTTAAACAAGATCATTTTGGTAATTGTCCCATTGGCAAATCTTGTTTTAAGGCAGGCAACATTTTCTCAATTTAAGATTCATTTTTTGCCAAATTTGAGCAGTTTTTGACTTATTTCCCATGACTTTTTTAAGTGTTGTCCCAATCAATCTGCTCGATTTACTTTATACTCAAAAGCATGGCGTTTATGCTCAATGTTACTAACTTCTTGCTGATGCTATGGTTTCATGGACTTCCTCACCTCTGAAACACTAACAATGATCAGGTTGTAACATGTTTTATGTCGTTCTTGCAGTGTAAGTCCATCTCCTAATCCTACAGCATGAGAGTGTCCTGTGTTTGTGTTGATTGCACCGTTTCCCTCATGTTTGCACCTCTCTGTTTCTTCAGAGCCTCTCAGCTCAAATAAGAGCCCACTGTCTAAAAGCTGCTTCCTGAATGACCCCTCGTTTGTTACCTCCTCTGAGGTGAGAAACTGAAGATGATTCTGTACGTCTCCTGTAGTAACACTGCCAGAAAGACCACTGTATGTGCTCTTCTTCAGTATCAGCACGTTTACTAACAGCTTTTCTCCATTCACTTTTATGTGCGCCTAAAGAAGCTGTTTGACTACGACTTTGCAGAAAATTATGGATCACATGTTGGTATATTTATTAAATGAATAGTTCAGGGTCAGGTAAACTATCCGTGGTTTAATAGTGATTGTGGGTCTTAAATATGCTACACAATTGGTCCTCATCTAAACAGATCTGGAGTTGTGTTTCCATGCTAGCATTAGGAAAACAAACTTCTGTCTAAGCTCTTGTCTAAGTCCTGTAATAGTAAGATGTCATTGTACCACTATGACATCACACGCTGAGAAGTTTTCTTCAAGTTTTGGCAATTTGTCATTTTCGCTGTGTTGCAGACGTAAATTTTATTAATTCATAAAAAAAAAAAAGTAATAATAATGTAACTCATGCCTCTAGTGGCTTCTAGTTACAGGTGGAAAGCCTTTCATCCTTTCACTGTGTTCTTTTTCTGCAGATAATATTTCACATTTTAAAACACAAAATGACAAAGCAAACCATTTAATTAGATTTGATGCACAAGATACTGCATAATATCTGATACATTTGTGACCACCACTGTGTCAGGATTGTCATACAGGGGTGTGACATTGTATGTTTTAGTACTATTAAAAATAAAGTAAAATAAAGCCTGTATAATGGCACTGGATAACATGTTGATATTTTTAGGAAAGTTTATTTGTAGAGCACAATTCATACACAATACGAACTCTACTAACTATAGCTCTGTCCCCTCTCCAGGAGCTTCACTCTGGCAGTCCGTCCCGCAGTAGCTCCGCCCTCTCCTTTCAGAGCACGCCTCCCCCTCAGCAAAGCCCCGCCCCCTTCGCGCAGCCGCCGCTCAACGGTCGCCTGGACGCTCTGGGTCTGAGCCAGGCCAACCTTCCTACCGTGGGAGGCCTGATCGCGTCGCTAACAGGAAGTCCTCAGCTGAGCGTGAACGGGGTCCTGGGCGGTTTGAACGGCGTGATCCAGTCCCCCGGTCACAGCGCCCCCCAGGCCTCGCTCCCGGCACTGCGGCCTCAGCCTCCGCCACTCAACACACAAGCACTGATCCAGAGCTTTCAGCTGCCCAAGAGCGCCAGCCCGTACGTCACACACTCTCTGATACAGAACTGTTTCTACTTAGATAAGATAAGATAGACAATACACATCAAATTTGGCATGGATAGAATAACTCAGATTGTGCAAAAGTTAAGGTTAAAAATATAATCTTTGCAGGATATAATCATGTACAATAAATTAGCAGTGCAGGTTTTTTTCAGTCCTAGTGCGAGTCAGTCTAAGAATTGTCTTTATTTGGTTTTTCCTGTTTCTCCAAAGATTGAAAGTGGTTATTTTCAGATATATATATATATATATATATATATTATTATTAACAGATACAGTGCCTTGCGAAAGTATTCGGCCCCCTTGAACCTTTCAACATTTTGCCACATTTCAGGCTTCAAACATAAAGATATAAAATTTAAAATTTTTTTCACGAATCAACAACAAGTGGGACACAATCGTGAAGTGGAACGAAATTTATTGGATAATTTAAACTTTTTTAACAAATAAAAAACTGAAAAGTGGGGCGTGCAATATTATTCGGCCCCTTTACTTTCAGTGCAGCAAACTCACTCCAGAAGTTCAGTGAGGATCTTTGAATGATCCAATGTTGTCCTAAATGACTGATGATGATAAATAGAATGCACCTGTGTGTAATCAAGTCTCCGTATAAATGCACCTGCTCTTTGATAGTCTCAGGGTTCTGTTTAAAGCGCAGAGAGAACCATGAAGACAAAGGAACACACCAGGCAGGTCCGAGATACTGTTGTGGAGAAGTTTAAAGGCGGATTTGGATACAAAAAGATTTCCCAAGCTTTAAACATCTCAAGGAGCACTGTGCAAGCAGTTATATTGAAATGGAAGGAGTATCAGACCACTGCAAATCTGCCAAGACCCGGCCGTCCCTCCAAACTTTCATCTCAAACAAGGAAAAGACTGATCAGAGATGCAGCCAAGAGGCCCATGATCGCTCTGGATGAACTGCAGATAAATACAGCTGAGGTGGGAGAGTCTGTCCATAGGACAACAATCAGTCGTGCACTGCACAAATCTGGCCTTTATGGAAGAGTGGCCATTTCGCAAGATATCCATAAAAAGTATCTTAAAGTTTGCCACAAGCCACCTGGGAGACGCACCAAACATGTGGAAGAAGGTGCTCTGGTCAGATGAAACCAAAATCAAACTTTTTGGCCACAATGCAAAACGATATGTTTGGCGTAAAAGCAACACAGCTCATCACCCTGAACACACCATCCCCACCTCAGCTGTAGTTATCTGCAGTTCATCCAGAGTGATCATGGGCCTCTTGTCTGCATCTCTGATCAGTCTTCTCCTTTTTTGAGATGAAAGTTTGGAGGGACGGCCGGGTCTTGGTAGATTTGCAGTGGTCTGATACTCCTTCCATTTCAATATAATTGCTTGCACAGTGCTCCTTGAAATGTTTAAAGCTTGGGAAATCTTTTTGTATCCAAATCCGGCTTTAAACTTCTCCACAACAGTATCTCGGACCTGCCTGGTGTGTTCCTTTGTCTTCATGGTTCTCTCTGCGCTTTAAACAGAACCCTGAGACTATCAAAGAGCAGGTGCATTTATACGGAGACTTGATTACACACAGGTGCATTCTATTTATCATCATCAGTCATTTAGGACAACATTGGATCATTCAAAGATCCTCACTGAACTTCTGGAGTGAGTTTGCTGCACTGAAAGTAAAGGGGCCGAATAATATTGCACGCCCCACTTTTTTCAGTTTTTTATTTGTTAAAAAAGTTTAAATTATCCAACAAATTTGATTCCACTTCACAATTGTGTCCCACTTGTTGTTGATTCATGACAAAAAATTAAAATGTTATATCTTTATGTTTGAAGCCTGAAATGTGGCGAAATGTTGAAAGGTTCAAGGGGACCGAATACTTTCGCAAGGCACTGTATAAACCAGCTAAAATGAAATATCCTTTATTTCAGGTCGTCTCTCCTGTCTGAGCAGCAGCAGCAGCAGCAGCAGCTACAGCAGCAGCTACATCAGTTCCTGACGTCTCAAAACTTCACACCAGTAATGACACTTTCCACCAGCTCTCTACATCCTGTCCCTTTGCATGCACACACTTTGCACTTTTAAACAGTAGTGGGAACCCTAACCCAGAAACAGTTGTGACAAAGTTCAGCAGTTTGTATGATAACACAAACACTTTTCATCCACTCCCTGTTACTGGTTGTGTGAAGCCTGTTGCCAAATAAGTGTATTTTCTATTTAACATTTTTGAAAAACCGAATTGAGTTGATCTGTGGAGACCTCAAACGTGGCAGCCCAGGAATGTACAGTACAGGCACTGGGTGTTTTTGTTTTTCATCAAGAAGAATATAGATTACAGGAGAACACATACATTTTACAATAACACAACCCCTAACAAGGAGTGAAAAAAATAAATCATAAAAAATTGACAAAAACAAACAAAATCTTTCCTTAAATTAAGTGTGTGTGTGCGTGTGTGTGTCTCAGGAGCAACAGCTGCTGGTGCTTCAGATGCTGCAGCGACAGAGAGAGCTCCAGCGTCTCTCCTCCCCTCACTCCCCCCTCATGGCCTCCTCCGCCTCCCCCCTGCAGACAGCACAGGGGCCCAGCCTCTTCACTCTCCAGGACAACGCACTTCACAAAACTGGGGTGCGTCCCACAAAGACAAAAATAAACGATAAATGTGTTTTGAGTGTTTAGAGAAGTTGTATCATTCGCCTGGACAAGATAAGACAGTTGGGAAATTTCAATGTTGCAGCGCATATACAGGACAGTAGTAAGAGCACACAAGGAGCACACACAATATACAATACAAGTAGCTGTAATGCCTCTTCTTACACTGATAAAAATGATCAAATATCAGATCATAATTGCTTGAATCCAGTGTTTTTTAATCCCAATTTGAGTAAAACTAGATTTGACAATGGGATGAAGCTGTTTAGTCCTATTTCAAGAACTGTTGCTTTGAATTCTCATTCCAAGTGAGACATTTCTTTTTAAAACGAGTTTTGCTTCAAGGCATTCAAAATGTTTGCTCAAATTAAGATATTTTTTTTGCCGAATTTGAGCAATTTTTGACTTTTTTTTATCACTTATTGCAGTGTAGCTAGTTATAAATGCTTCATAAGAGCAAGTAAATATCAGTATATTTTTGTTTTGGCTGTATAATGTAAGAAATGGTTTTGACAAATGTTAAAACTTTCTGTTTTGTCTTGTGTTTTCAGGAAAAAAGTGGGGACAAAAATGGCTGACAACTTCACATGCAGCTGGTCTTTTTCGTTGTCTCTCTCTTCAGGCTCTCGAATGTATGAATGTACTTGGACTTTTTTATCTTGTGATGTTTGTATGTTTTACACTTCTTTATATCAAAGGTTCTTCTCATCGTTTTTTGTTTGATTCTTTTGTGTAGGCAGCTTTCAGAGAGATGAATGTGGTCTCTTTTTAAAAATTGCACTAAATTGTGAGCTCGACCAATGGCGCCCCCTGCTGTTGGTTGTAGGGTGAACTCTTTAGGGTCTGTCTGACTCTAGCACTGACCGTTCATGGATCTCCCTTTGGCTTGAACCAGTTTATTTATACAGTTTTCTGTCACTTCTTGCAAACATTTACCGTCTTCCTTAATATTCTGCCTTCCTGTTGTGTTGCATCCAAATCTTGTTTAAATTTCGGTGTCACAATTTTGAAGATATGAATGTCCTTTTACTTTCAAGTTTGTGGTTAGTGATATTCTTCCCTAAATAGTTACCTCAAACCTTTCTACCTTTACAATATTTATATGTCCTTGTATACCGCTGTGGTTCTTTGTGATGACTCATTACCAAGATAGCCTTCACTGGATAGAAGTTCGTAACGATCACATGACGACATGTGGCTTTACATTTTTAACACAAATTAGGTTTTGTTTCATTGCAAACCCCAAGACTTTATAAGACGTATCTCTCCAGTTGCTATCGAGATTATGCAGACAAAACCAAACGTTTTATTTGGGGATTACGTTAAAAAGTAATTGTTTGGTTTTATTTTTAAAATACATAGCGCACTTTGCATGTTAGAGGCTTTCAAAGCAAATTAGCCATTGACAAAGTACCTTAAATATCATGAATTACAATGATTCTTCATTATCATGAGTATATTGTCCTTTTAACGTCCTCCAAACACTTGTTCTTTTAGCAATACTGGATAGAGAATGCCTTAAAGATGTTATATATTCAGAGAAAGAGTCTTTCATCTTTCTTTGATAGTGTTTTTAATCTTGTAACTCTTACAACTCTTTATACTTTTGATAGTTACTGATCATTTCTGCAAAAACATGTGAATATAGTGGTAACTATAGTCTTTTTAATGTACCAGTACTTCTTTGTGTTCTGATTATTTTTGTTGCTTCTGCAAAGTAAGAAACAGGATATAATGGGATTTCTACAAACATAGGAGACTTGATATTAACATGTATAACTCATAGTTTAGAGTCATATTACTCACACTGACTTCCACTGTTGGTTTAGTTGTTGATAAGCTTATCCGTCCATCAGTTTTACTAACTCACAGTAGTTCACTCATAAATACATCTAATCAATCATCTGTTATTACTTTTAAACGTTCCCAAACATGTGACAGCATATCTTTAGTAGAAGTGATTGTCCACTTAAGCAGCTCAAAGATGAGACGTAAGCGAGATGTAAAATAGATGAAAGACATGAGCCACCTTTTTGACAAAACTATTTATCAATTATTATTTAAGTCCTGACCATAGACTGTAGGAATGTCCATAGTCCATGAGTCTATGGTCCAGACTGGACCAGGTCTTTGACTCTGTGCCAAGGGCGTCTGGAACGGTTTCTTTATGTTGCACTGGGGCATTTTGGCCCAAATGTAAATCATTTTTTGTCCCTTTTTCAATTTTGTTGGACACAAGTTGTTAACTTAATGTTTGTGCAAAACATTGGTTTATTTGCGCTTTGAAGTTTGAAGTTGGGCGACCAAGAAAATCCATGTAATGAATGTTGTACTGTGTATATTTTATGTATTATGACATAAGCACCTGGCTCTGAACGAGGTTTGACGGAGAGCATTAAATATTGGGATATGACTTGCATGAAATGCAGTGACGTCTCTCAAATGTATTGCTAATTACCAAGTAAAACTATGCATAATTTTGAATGCATTGTTTCCTGAAAAGTCAAGAAATGAGCACTGAATTTAAAAGGACAAGCACGTTGTCATTGTACAGTGTATTGTTTTCAGAGAATTAATCAAAACTAATTTGACAAATATTGAGATTAAAATCCCTGTAAAGTATTTTGATATTTTTGTGTGTAAAAATTAAAAGCTTGAATAAGACATTCTTTTGGTAATAATGCCTCTGCACGTGTCATTTTTTTGGGTCAAATACAAGGGATGGGTTCAGGTTCAGTCCCTGATTAGTTCATACAGTGATTCAGAGCAACATGTGCTGCTTTGTCTCTGTTTTTCCACAGTATTTTAACTTTTTATGTACTTAGTTAACTTTATTATTGATTTACCCGGAGTAGCATCCATGCAAAAGTTTATTTCAGTGAGGATATATTTATGGATAAAAAACAAGGAGTCTGATCTATGTTTTTCCCAAAGGAATGAATATTTCTGTTTAACCTGATTAAGAATCCTTTTATGCCTGAACTCTTGAAGCTGATCACCTGTACTTTCGGACTCTGATAAATATAGTTATAAGTGGGAACACTCCCACAGAGAAAGATGTTCTATGGTAACTATGAAGGCGGTTCTCATGAATGACCAATCCTAAACAAGTCATCTTTCTCTGCATTTGGCAAGTTTAAAGGCACCAGACTGTTTGCTTAGTTTGAAATTAGGTATATACTTCTGTATTTGTATATCATATAGATCATAGACTGTAAATAATATAGATCTAGGGGTAAATTATTATCAATGGGAGTGCCCGCAGGGACAATTTCCACATAAAAAGTTGTGGGCGGGACTTATACCTCATCGGCCAATCAAAGACGTCGAAGGTAAGGAAGTGGCCATGTCTCTGCTGCAAGTTTCGCCCTGTTTTTACAACTATTCACGCCGAGTCTGATGTTTATGGGATATTCTCTTGTCTGAACACTTTCATATCACATTACACTACTCATATATGTTTTAGTTTACACCCGTGGACACAAATGAACACGTTAAATGTCTTTGTGCGAAGGGGAATCCTCCTGGGGACTTTCACTCAACCTCAGACGGCTGCTTCCTCCATGGTAAGACCCCAATGTTTACATCGTGACAATAGATGTTGTTCTCACCTTTTATGTGTGTTGAAATATGATTGTATTTGAGAAAAACACCATAATTTGTACATTAAGAGCATGTAGCTTGTCCTCCATACATACACGCCCAGACACACCTTGTCCATTCACCCTTCGCACACTTTACCTGCATCCATCAATCACTTTTACTGTGTCTGACTGAAACACAACTACTACCGAATCTACAAAATAACACAATAATTTGTGTTATATAATTAAATTAACTTACGCATGGCTATTTTAGTGTATTTTATCAAAATTCACGTAACTTTCTGAAAAAAGTCATTTTTTTCACTCTGCGTGCGTGGATTTACGTGTATTTTATGTTTTTTCTTCAGTCTTACAATGACAAGACAGTGTATAACAAAAATGCCCAGTGTATAACAAAAAAAACCATACACTGCTACTTATACCTATGCTCATACTGCTTTTCTACATTCCAATATTATTTGTATATTTTTGTCTTTGATTGTTTTTTATTTCTTTTTTTATTTTTTTATTTATTGAAGTTACAGTTCAAACAATATAATAGAATGAATTGCAACTAAAAAAGGACTCTGCAGAACTCGTGCTTTATCTCATTCTACACCATTGGTTAAACCAGTCACTTTTCATATTCTTTCATATTTGAAATTTTCAATACGGTTTAAATTGTGAAGTAGGTTTATATCAAATCTTCTGACAATTAATACCATGATGTTACTCAGAACATTATGACTATTAAATCAGCTTTGTTTAATGTATGCTATTAAATCAGCCTGGCATATATGCATGGGTATTGCATGTAACTAGTCAATTTATTTAATACTAATCAATTATTGAAATAGTTGACTTCTGATTGAGGGATTGATCATTTGTTGAACCATATACAGTTTAAAATCAAGTTTGAAGTTGCCTTTGAGTGACAGCTCTCTCTCCAGTATTCATTTGTTATTTATTCCCATAAAAATTGCATTTTTTTCTTTATGTTTATCTGCCCCTTTTTATGTGGGAATTATGAGAAGAGAGGGAAAACTCTCCCTAAATAAAGCTAAAAGGAGTCAATGAAAAAACTATGTGGGCATGTGTACGAAGGCCAAATAACACTTTAATTATGTTTTAAAGCATAGAAAATTCCTTTTTAAGTTTTGTTTTTGTCACTTTTCTAAATAATTACATATTCACTAGCCATGATTGCCAAAACTGTTTTCCCTTTGTATGTATTTATAATAATTAGAGGTTAAAGCTGGAATTGATTGGACGGTTGGTGTTGAAATACGCACTTAAGCCACTAGGGGTTGACGACATGAGATTTTTACCTGCACAAATGAGAGGAGATTCCTGACTTCAATATCGTCTATTCAATTTAAGGTATTTTTGTATACTGTGGCTACTCGACTTTGAGGACTTTACAAAGTTGTCAATGTGCCTAAACAGAAAAAAACAATCTATGTTTAATTTTGTGCTGATTAATCCTGCTAGTCAGTTATTGTAGGTATTTTAAGCCACTTTTGCCACATTTATCATGCACATTTTCACTGGCTTAAGATTGTGTAATGGTGGTCGAGCTACGTTATTTTGGTGTATATGTAAACATTGCCTTTTTTCTCTGTTTGAGTCTTTGATCTCTATTTGAGAAATGGATTCTGTGGGTTGTACAGGTCCAGCGTCGTCTGGAGTCCACAGAAGTTGTTGCAGGCGGTCGCGCTCCCTTCAGAGTGAAGCTGAAATCTGGCAAACGCTACGCCTGGTGTGCATGTGGACACAGCAAGAAACAGGTCCGTAATCAAACAGAGAGGTTCCTCCAAACTAACTTATTTCACCCCCTTAATATTTTTGTCAGAATGTTTATTTTTTAAACATTTTATTTTTTATTTCCTACATTTATATATATTTATGTATTTATTACTGCCACTTAACCTTTTTGCACCAGTTATTTAAAAAAATATGATGCAAAACAGACAAAAGGTGGAGCCATGAAACTTAACAAGAGATTGAGGACTACTGAAATTAACAGCAGAAATTAATAACGTATGCTGTGGCCCCCTAGTGGACATCAAGATGTAATGTCAGTGCGACCCCCAACTAAGAGTCTGGGTTAATATGGCATGTTATACATCATTTTATAAACAAAACAACCGTGCCATTTACATTATCATGAAAATTTAACACTAAATGCAATAAGTTATAATTAAAAGTGAACATTATTCTGGACAGCAGTCTACATAACAAAGCCTCACTGCCTTTGGTCAAGTTTTGGTTCAATCCAAGCAGCTGTAATCATGGTGTTAATAGAAATATATGAGAGAAATTGTATCTAAACTCAAATCCAATAAAAGCAAATCTTTGGTAAAAAGTTACAAATGCAAATGGTGAGCTAGAAAACTTTCCACCAACTCTTAATCCATTGGTTTCCCTGTTTTTCTGTCTCTATCAATGCATAAATATAATAATCAGGCAACAAATCGATTGCTCAAACTAACCGTTAATTCCAGCCCCAGTTTCTATAATCCTGTCAGTGAACTTTGGGTCAGATAAGTGAATCTCTATATCTTGGGTTGTGTGCTGTTTGGGCGGGATAGCACTCTCGCCTCTCAGCAAGAAGGTCCTGGGTTCGAATCCCGGTTGGACCAGGGCCTTTCTGAGTGGAGTTTGCATGTTCTCCCCGTGTCTGCGTAGGTTTCCTCCGGGTGCTCCGGTTTCCCCTACCACTAAAATATGTACAATAGGTATGGCATGTGCCTCCTGTACTGGCGACCCCCACCCAACAATTGTAAACTGCTTTGAGACTCCAATGTGCAGTGAAAAGGCGGTATATAAATAAAAGCTTACTTACTTACTTACTTTTCATTTCTACTGTTCTGCAACTTGGGATACAAATTCCCCCACTGTGGGACGAATAAAGGATCTCTTAATCTCAATCGTCGTGACAACTCCGACTTCCATAATGGCACTGCGACATTTACATTTATTAAATTCACTAAACCGGGCCTAACTCTGCCTCTGTTTCTGTGTTTCTCTGTTATTGTGAGTTTTCCGAATACTATACTGAACAACTGCTGGAGGTACATAAGAATTTCACTGACAGACAAATAAACTAAACTAAACATTTTCATTTTTTTGTGAACGTGTGAATCTAAAATGTGTTTTGCAGCCGTTCTGCGATGGCACTCACCGGGCCAAAGCACCGAGCATCGAGCCTCTCCGCTTCACTCCTGAGAAAGACCGGACCGTCCTCCTTTGTGCCTGTAAACAAACCAAGAACGGGCCCTACTGCGACGGCAGCCACTTCAAACTCATCTTCAACGACGCGGTGAACTATGTGAAGGGGGTTTTTAAGAGATAGAAGTCGGAGCGTCTGTGGAGCGGTACCAAAAGCTATAATCGCCTTTAATCGAAAAGCCATTTTTTATCAACAGAAGCACTTCATATCGTGTCTGTGTGTGTTGAATATTTATACTACCTATGTATCATGTACTGTTGGAGATTTATACTACCTACTGTATATATCGTGTACTGTATTATAAGCATGAGAAATGAATGTACATCATTAAGGCTTACTTCATTTCACCATTTCTTTAAAAAAAACTCAGGATTGTATTTGTGTCTTTTTTTGTTTTATTTAAATGGAAAACTGAATGTTGTTTTGCCAGGTGTACAGTGGGGCAAAAAAGTATTTAGTCAGCTACAAATTGTGTAAGGCTTCCCACTTAAAAAGCTAAAGAGATGCTTGTAGTTTTGTATCATAGGTTTGCCTCAACTATGTGAGACAAAATGAGAAAATAAATCCAGAATGTCTGATTTTTAAAGAATTTATTTTCAAATAATGGTGGAAAATAAGTATTTAGTCAATAACAAATGTCAATCTCAATACTTTATGATATATCTTTTGTTGGCTATGACAGAGGTCAAACGTTTTCTGTACAACACACACAGTGTTTTCAGACTGGTGCTGGTATTTTGGCCCATTCCTCCATGCAGATCCCTTCTAGTGATGTTTACAGGTAAAGAACAGAGGAGCCTCTCAAAGCAGAAGTTACAGGTCTGTGAGACAGATGTTCCGTGTTTCTAGGATACTTAATACTTTGTTTCCACCCTAATTTGTCTGAATTTAAGAAATATTTATTTGCACTGTGATTTTGTATTTTTTATTTATTTAATTGTGTCTCTCAGAGTTGAGGTAAACTCATAGACTGTAAATATTATGATAAAAATTACAAGGGTCTCATCTTTTAAGTGTGGAGGACTAATACATTTGACTTCCTCGCTGTATTTATATGAAAGGCCTCATGTTTGTTGACATTTTAATCATTTTGTGTGATATATATTTTATGGCATAAAAGATTATTCAGAACATTGCCTTTGACATAAACTACAATATTCCATGGACCATCTCACATCTGTTCTCTGTTCTGTCTTTGTTCATGTTTTATGGATCATTTCATTTTCATTTCATTTTCAACCCCTTTATTTGTCCATTTCTGGGTCGGGGGGTGGCAATGAGAGCTGCCACCCAATGCTCATAGCACCATATGGATCATATGTGTTCGAAACACTGAATGATAATAAACAAGAGCATAGACATTAGTTGTAATTTTTTTGTATCGTTGCAGAACCCCTTTTTTGGTGTAGACGTGTCAACTGAAGACATAAATGTTAAAAATACATTATAATTGAGAACCATGGATTAACAACCCATTTTTAAGACGTAAAATCCTGTAACTCTGTACAAAAACACATTTTGGTAGATTTGCTTGAAAGGTGTGGACACTGACATACCCCATGGTACAGACATTGGAGGCCTCCCCTGCAGTGCCTTTGGAGGCCCTCGTGGGGACCCCACTTTAGAAAGGACTGGTCTATGTAATTTGACAAATCTTCAAAACAACATTCACAGCATTGAAAACTACATAATCACCAGTTTATCCATTTTTTATACCATTTTCAAGTTGTATAAATCACGTATTTGACACCTCAATTGAAATGTGAACTGTGATTGGTCATATTTGGTCACGTGATCCAGGAAGTGTTTTCACTCGCAGCAGCTGAGATCACCTCCAAACAACATGCGACCCGTGACATTAAACCACGTTTGGACCAGTGTCACTTTGAAACTACCATGGGCCCGTGCAACGCCAGTGATGAAGGTAAATACATCTTTAAAAAGCATGAATAAGATTGACCCAGTTGTTGACAGTGATTGACAGTCATTTTTATTTTGACATTTATTCTTAGTTTTAGGCTATATCAATATACATGAATGCCATAACGGTAGTAACAAGATGCTTGCTCTCCAACAAACATAAGCCCCGTTTCCACTAGCCCTACTTGGCTCCACTCTACTCGCTCTACTCTTTCTGGGTGCGTTTCCATACCTGGTACCATAATAGATCCATGCCATATCCGAGTCGCAACCTACCCACCACAAACTAGAATCTGGGGTATTGTCGCTGGAAGCCATGGTTACAATCACAGTCAGTACGAACACTTTAGTACCAGCTTGGCATAGATAGAACCAGGTCCAAGCAGGTACTAAAAAAGTTCCAAGTACCGAAGTAGCGCAGAGTAGAGTAGAGCTGGTGAAAACAGGGCTTGTCCTTATGTTATAATCAACTTATACAACAATACGAAATTACTCATTCATTACTGCTTTAGGTATTACTCAATAATCTTTAGTCTTATAATTTTAAAGACATTCTAAACATGTAATCGCAGGACATGGGCGGTAAAGGCTAAATCCTAATCATAATTATTTTGTATTCCCAGTTTTCCACGTTCCCACCAGAGCCTGTAATCCCATGTAAGAAACCTTTTAAAGTTGATGTTGTGGGTGGAAAACGGTATTCCTGGTGCACATGTGGATACAGCAAAAAGCAGGTAGAATTATGGCAGAATTAAAATCATAAAACAATGTGTGTGCCGTCTTGCAATCTTGACGTTTTTTTTCTTTCCTTTTCAGCCTTTCTGTGACGGATCCCATAAACTAAAAGCTCAAACTTTCAAACCTATTCGCTTTTTACCTGACAAAGATGCGACGATGTATTTATGTGGCTGTAAATTCACCAATAACCCACCGTACTGCGATGGTACACACAAGCAGGACTTCATCATTTCTGCTCCTCTCTATGAAGAAAACGACTCGTGACGTTTGCCCCAAAAACGGGTTCCAGACTGGATCCACACTTAAATAAATATGTTGTTTTAAACTGGTTCTGGGAAAAAACAGACACTGAACACAACCTCAACAAAAACCCTCTTCAAAAACGGTTACAGGCGACAAGCCAGAGATTTCCTGACAGCTGTTAGTTATTATTTCGTTGTTTGATATTGCTGGTCGGATTCACTGTTACTGGACCAAGTCTGGTTCACTTATTCAGTATATTTATTTATATAGCACATTTCACAGACACATGAGACACCTAAACCCCATGACCATCACCATACATTCTCTCTCATTACATTCAGACCTGTTTTACATATTTTTAGAGGGAAGGGAAACCGGAGCACCTGGAGGAAACCTAGGCAGAGATGAGTAGAGCATGAAAATTCTACTCAGAAAGGCCTTGTCCTGACTAGGATTCAAACCCAGAGAGATTCAAAAGATGTAAACTGACTTAGTTTGTTTTGTGGTTTTACATTCACAAAAAAACTGAATTTTGGGACTGAGAATTGGTCCATTTTAAGTGAGTCAGAACTACTTGTGTGAACATGCCCTTAGAATATAACATTAAGCTGTTAATGTTTGCACTTGGTGAACTGTTAAATATTCTATAGAGTTAATATATTTTGTTTCATCTATATATATATATGTTCAGCAGAAAACATTTATAACGTGATCAGGTGGACATTTTCAGGGAACCATACAGATAGTTGACAACGACCCCTTTTCTCCGGAGCACCTGGAGGAATCTTTACTTCACACAGGCACCAGAAGTAAAGATGTGTGTGGAGCCTTATTCATATTTTGACTATTACAATAAGATTTGTACAAAACTTGTAAAATCTCATTGAGAAAAAGTGACGTGGCAAAGCTAATTCTATTAGCTATTTGTAAACTGTACACAATGAACAATCAAAATATACCAGAATGTGTTAGTAATGTGAATAAACTGGTAGTGTGGATGGATACTTGAACTCATATTTTTGACGTTGATATAGTTGCTCATTTAAATGCTATTGTTCACATTCACTTATGACACAAAAGGGTAGGTGAAAAAAGCCTTAGCTTCAGCCTACTCCTTTTCGGTCTTTCTTTCTGCTGTAATTTACTGTCCTGACAATGTGTGAAATGTTCAAGCGACCGAAATAAACCTCATTCTCTCATTCACAGTATATTTATGGACAATGGCTGTTAAGTGTTTATTACTGCATTTCCTGTGAATCGACGACTTTGCAAAGTCCTCTGAGACGACCGTTGTTGTCATTTAGGAATATACAACACTGAACTGACTGTCACTGTTGGTTTTATCAAATTATGAGGCTTGACTTTTATAGAGGGCTTGACACGTGATTGAATGAAGGATAAGATAAGGTTTTATGCCCTACTGTGGAACATGACTTTCTATTTCAAATTTGAACTTGCAGGTGTTTCAACCCTGAGCAAATTAAAATATAGTTGTAGCTTCTGAATGAAAGATCTCTCTAAGACCCAGAGTAACAATGCACCCTTTATTAAGAAAATGCCTAGTTTTTCCTATGAAGGAAAAACTAGGCATTTTCTTAATAATGGGTGCATTGTTACTTTCATTTTCTTAATACCCTCACCCACAAGACAATTTAGTTGATCATGGTTGGTAGAATCCGTTTTGTGCCGTGATATGAACCAATAATTGTAAATACATAAATAGTGGATAACAAGCCGTAACAAGTGTAAGGCATTGGGTGCAAAACCATTCAAAGACGCAACATTGAGGCTGCCAGGACGCTTTGATCAGAAAACTATTAAGTAAACATTTTTATTGACCTAAAACATGCAGGTACGGCCAATCAAGACGCCTCCATGTCTGATGAAAGAAAATGCATGGAGTATTGAAAATTGAGAGGCCACAACATAAGCACCATTGTTGTGGGCGATTGACAAAAACAGTGGTAGTGCCTTAACATCTGTCAAAGAATAAATGCATTTTTTCGGGTTGAAAATAAAATAGTTGGCGTTATGAAAGTGCATCGTCAGTAAAAGAATGAATGAAGACTGTACAGAACATGTATACAGCAGTTATTAATATGGAGGTTTTAAAGGCAAATATTTTAGCTCTTTTTCATGTACATCCAACAGCTTTTTGACCGAAGCCAAAACCGATGAAAACATGTGAAAATGGGACAGACACACGGCATATACAATTACAAAAACAATTACAATATCTCGTATAAAAGATAAGTTTATACATATTATGCACACATGCTCACATTTGTTACATACTATACAGTTTGTATGTGTGCACTAGTCTAACACACAGAAACACGCACAATTGTCTATTTGGCCCAAAGAACCAAGTCATTTTCAGCAGATGAAAACTGGATTCTGTCAAAGAGGGGGTATTACAGCTTTAATGGAGCATTCGATGTCAGTAGAACTATATTGAGCACCGTGTTACCTTCTGTTAGATCAAAAATGCTGTATTTCAACAAAAAGTCAGTTTTGGTTCAGACACTCCACTTCAAGCCTGTTTCTGATGAGGGGAAATAAAACTTGAAGTTGTATAAAGCTCAAAAAGTCAATTTTGCGTAATACCCCCTCTATTAAAAAAAGGGACGCAATTGAAAGTGTCCTCCCGTTGAGAGTATAGAGCGTTTTAAGTCGTGGCTCCAGTCTTTTCGCCGCCTCTGCCGTCTTCTTTGCTATTTCCGCTACTCGTGCCGTTTACAGCCACCTTCCTGGAGCCACCGCCGGGCTGTTTGGCGGAGTTAGAGTGTCGTTGGGAGTTGGAGCCGGCGGAGTTGCAGTTGGCAGAGCTTTGTGATGTGGGGGGCTGGTTGGGAGGCTGCTGTGAAGACCCTCGGGGGGTGGATGCGGGCGTGGGGCTGTGCAGGGCTTTGTCGCTGTGGGAGTCGCTCTCTGACGTAGGGCTCGTGTTCACTCCGTCCGAGTTACCTGCGGCGGCTGACTGGGAAGGCCGTCTGCGCTTACGGTTTGGTTTGACCAAATACTGCAGCGGGATGGGTCCAGTCTGTAAGAGAGAGGAGAAGATTGTATTAAAAAGGTAAAACAAGGTCACCTCAGAGTATGCCTTTTGATCATGCAGCACTTTTATGTCTGAGTTACGATCAGGTGAAGATTAGGTTTAAAAGATGTTTTCATCACCAGCAGTAAGTCTGTTCCCAGTGAATGTTGGCCTCCGCCAAGGCTGTCTTTTGTCACAGGTTCTGATCACCGTCTCTAGACCCCTACGGCAAGCTTGTAGCAGAGCTGCTGCTCCTCCATGAGAGGAAACAGTTGAGGTGACTTGGGACACGCTGGAGGACGCGCTGGAGGACGCGCTGGAGGACGCACTGGAAGACGCGCTGGAGGACACGCTGGAGGACATGCTGGAGGACGCACTGGAAGACGCGCTGGAGGACACGCTGGAGGACGCACTGGAAGACGCGCTGGAGGACACGCTGGAGGACGCACTGGAAGACGCGCTGGAGGACACGCTGGAGGACGCGCTGGAAGACGCACTGGAAGACGCGCTGGAGGACGCACTGGAAGACGCGCTGGAGGACACGCTGGAAGACGCGCTGGAAGACGCGCTGGAAGACGCACTGGAAGACGCGCTGGAGGACATGCTGGAGGACGCGCTGGAGGACACGCTGGAGGACACGCTGGAGGACGCGCTGGAGGACGCGCTGGAAGACGCACTGGAAGACGCGCTGGAGGACGCACTGGAAGACGCGCTGGAGGACACGCTGGAAGACGCGCTGGAAGACGCGCTGGAAGACGCACTGGAAGACGCGCTGGAGGACATGCTGGAGGACGCGCGTGGAGGACACGCTGGAGGACACGCTGGAGGACGCGCTGGAGGACGCGCTGGAAGACGCACTGGAAGACGCGCTGGAGGACACGCTGGAGGACGCACTGGAAGACGCGCTGGAGGACACGCTGGAGGACGCGCTGGAAGACGCACTGGAAGACGCGCTGGAGGACACGCTGGAGGACGCGCTGGAAGACGCGCTGGAAGACGCGCTGGAAGACGCACTGGAAGACGCGCTGGAGGACACGCTGGAGGACGCGCTGGAAGACGCACTGGAAGACGCGCTGGAAGACGCACTGGAAGACGCGCTGGAGGACACGCTGGAGGACGCGCTGGAAGACGCGCTGGAGGACATTTTAGAATGTCTGCTTTTTCTGATCTTTACTCACCATGAGAGGATTGTGGTATGAAGTATTTGCAAAAGGCTCATTCAATTATAACAAGATAAAGTTGAATACTCACTCTTCTCCACTCATAGAAGTAGGCGATGTCCATTAGTGTGTAGTAATCCTTCAAGGGTTCATCTCCGTACAACACCTCCACCTGCAACAATACCACATGCTTTTCATCGTGGCCGAAATTACCCAAGAACTCAGTCTGTAGATCAATGCCATCAAAAATGAGTACGTTTAACTTGACTCCACTACATATTTAAAATAGTAAAAATAGACACAACTGTGTGTGTAACTTGAATCACTATCAAGAATACAAGCCGAACCATCGTGGAAAGGTTTTCAAGACTCATCCACATTACAATACATTTTGTGAGATTGTAATTACAGAGATGCATCTATTCAAACTTTTCATGCCAGATCTCTTTGACCAAAGAGATTTTTTCACAACAATCACAGCTAAAGCCTGGTTCACACGGCAGGATATTTAGGCCGATTTAGACCCGATTTACCCCTTACGACAATCTTAAGAAACGCTCCGATTTCCGTAACAAAATCTTAGATTATCCTGCCGTGTGTGGTGTGTTAAGACTGCACTCGTCGCTCGGAAGGACATCGGGACTGCTCCCGATCTCAAATCGGGGATATCCAACATGTTGGATTGTTTTGGCCCGATTTCTTGTCGTGTGTGGTGTCCTCCGAGGACAAGCGAGCGCGTTGCCATGACTACGGCGTGTAGCCAATAAGAAGACGAGGTGACAAGCCGGTGAGGACACACCGGAAAAAAACCAAAACACAGCAGCATGGCTTTGACCATTGCCTTTTCTTTGGATTACGTGTCTTCTCTGTTAACAACAAACTGCACACTATCGCCACTGCATCCTCTTCGTCCGCCATGACTGTTTACTCTGAAGTCACGCTTGATCTCGAGAGATTTTGTGAGATTTCCGTCTGACCTGGGAATGCTCGGGGGGGGGGGGTCGGTTCGTGTGTGATGTTTGTGGCTTGCGTGATCTTGCCGTGTGGCTACGCACCACACACTGCACGACCAAAGTGGTTAGACGCAGGATTTTTAATCTCCCCGTGTGGGGTCTAACACGGAGAAAAATCGGCCGACAATTTTAAAATCATCTCGCGTGAACCAGGCTTAAGGCATTACAAAATGGGTCAAATGTGGGTTTTTTTCTAACATCTAATGAAAAATCCCAATCAGATCCAACAAGTTTTCCTCGACACAATAATACATGCCAAAATCGGTGCCATCCCAATGTATAACAATGGAACAACATGCCATGAAACGCCCATCATAAATTCTACAAAACTATTGATCACGACAGCTAGCCACAGTTCATACACAACTCTCCACATTCACAAACGATGAGAATGTAGCAGAAAGTGTGCAGTTACCCGATAGTTGCTGGGTATGTCCATCTTGCTCCTGAGGAACTTTGCCAAGTGCATGACAGACATGGCAGCAGGACACTGCAGAAACCGTTTACCGTTGGACTGAAGAAAAAAAATGACAAAAGCAGATTTAGTATTAATCCACCACGACAAAAACATTCCGATATTGAGACAACAAATATCAATACAATGCGACTTATCTGAAGATATTGTGATGCTGACCAATGGTGAAATGTTTAATTTGTGACAATTTACTAAAACACACCTTGTCAATGTCCACTTCTGGATGCGTTTTTTCTTTATTTCTGTAACAAAAGAGCATGTGAGCTAGATTATTGACTGAGATTGTTTTTGTTTGTGGATCATGACAACAGCAGAGGTGGCAGTGACTCACTTGTTCCTCTCATAGAACTGTATGGACAAACTGATGATTTCGTCCTCTGCAATGTTAAACGTCTCCACGACTTCCCCAGGCTCCAGCTCTCGATTTTCTGCATAAAAGTCCCGTCGCCGCTTCATCTCATCTGAACACGTACAAACACACACAGAAACACAGATATGAACTAGGGAACATTTAGTAGAAACTTGATCATATAAGATAACTATCATACCTTTGAAAAGCCCTGGGACAAGCTTATAAACAATATCTTGTAGAGTTTTGTCAGCTCTTTAAAAAAAAAAAAGACAAAATAAAAGAAATGTCATCATCCTCATATCCATAGCAAAGATTCTGTTATAAGGAAGTATTAACAGGATTACAACGTGATTATCTCTCACCTGATGCTGAGCTGTGGACACGTTTTATGAACCTGAGCGTCACATCGAGGACAGAACTTATTTGTCTCCAAAAAGGCAACGATACATGTTTTACAAACTACAACAGAAAAAAGAACATCCAGTCATTAAAATGCAATCAATGCTTTAGACTCATTGAAATCATTACACGGTCTGGTCCAGGACCTTGTCATCGGGGTAAGCTCTAATCTGATTTAATTAGGGTTGAATAAAGACATGTAGGCCATCGGCGGAATAACAAACTTACAGGAATGCAGGCACTCTACGATGGTCGTGGCATCAACCAAGTATCCAGCGCACAGTGGACATGTGAGGTGAGGGTTGAGCTCAGAGATCTTAATCCGGCTGGGCTGCATGATGTCCATCTGGAGCGGTCTGTGGAAGAGCACAGGGCTGTTATGGGGCAAGGGGCTGAGGTCCATCTGCTGCGAGCCACACAATGTCTACAGCTCGTCCTTGGGACAGCCGTGAGTGCCGCACTACAGCACCACAAAGGGGCTGCTGTCTGCTACCTGCAGCACACTGCTGGTGGTCTGTTTAGAGGGAGATATCACGTCCTGTTCGGCACAGAGTAAAGGCTCAGGCTCAGTCTGTCCAGAGCGCAGCGGCTCCGGGCACTCGGCCTCATCCGCGCATCGCTGTCGAGGCGGCGGCGCAACAAAGAGCTCAGCTCCGATCCAGGTCCAGAGCCCGGAGACCAGAGAGCTGCCTGGGCACAACCACAGCACACAGCCGCTGAACAGACAGCTCAGAGCTACACAAAGCAGCCATCTTACATTCACTGACAGGGCTGTGAGAGGAGGCGAACAAGAGACACTCTAATGTGACACCGTGCACTTTGCGGGTCCCTCTGCGCACAGCGCCGCGTCGTCGCACAAACATCACATTTACAGAGTTATTCTCACCTGTTCACACATCAAAGTCCGCCTCTGCTCCACAGGATCCAGCCCAGTTATTGGGACTTCTCAAGATTTTGCAGCAGCGCCAGAAAATGGCTTTTTTTTTTTCAGCCCCGTCAGAGGACAGCCCATTTTTTGTCACGTGACTTTATTTTGTCGCCTGGGTCTCGGGCTCAGGGACAGCGAGGCTCTGCAGGCCCTGTGCTTTTCTTTCCCCAATGTTCCCCTGCCTTGTCAGCACACACTCACACTAAAACTGGCTCTGGAAGCTTTATTTCATTACTATAACGAGGGTCCCTGTGTGTGGCTCCGCCCCCCTGCACTGCCCCTCTGGTGTCAGATTTGAGCTGGTGCGGCCTGCAGGCCTCATGGCCCTGGGCCCGGAGTGGGCCACAGCCTTCACTACAACAGTGTGTGTTTGATTGTGTGTCTGTGTCTGTACGTGCCTGTGCTGTCGTGTTGTCTGTGGGCTGTTTGAGGGATCCACACTACAGAGTCTGCGACCATTATTAGAAGAACTCTTAGTATTAATGTAAATTACACTTATTGTCATAAAAGGCCAAAGCGATGTTTTTTCAATTGAATTCATCCGGAGAAAGTTACTTACATTGTTCTCCATCTTTTGCATGTGTTTTATGCTCAAACAACAACAAATATTGCCTTCTTTCCTTCACAGTGATTGGTTTTACGGTGGAGCGGGATACGTGTTTGGACATGGCAGATTATCTCCAATGCCTGGAAATGCCATCCCTCTCTGATACCGCATTCTCCAAGTAAAAATCCAATACATATAGATACATATCTAACATAATTTGAAAGCACTTTATTGACACACGGCAGGTGACAATCATACCACTGTTTTTTTCCGGTTGTGTACATTCATAATGCTCCCAAAGCTCCTGCTCGGGCTACACGAGTGCATCATTGTGCCTGTTTCACTAAAGGCCCGCTTTGCTCTGCTCCACTGTCTCCTCTCTTTCCTCTCTTTCCTCTAAGCTCCACTTGTGCTTCCGCGTGTCGGCCGGTAGGGGGCGCTGCCGACTGTGAAGTGCAGCGCGGACGCCATCTTGAGGAGACCCCTGTGACTGACAACAACTGGAGCGCATCATGACGGGGCTACCTCTGCCCAACTAAAGCCACATCACGTCACTTCACCGGGCTGCCACACAAGAGCCGAGCAGGAGAGGAGCTGTTGCCCGGGACCCTGCTTTGTCATTAGGCCGCTGTGTGGAAGCCCCATGGCCGGCTGAAGTCTCGCCTTTCGCGGCCTGCTCTCTCTGGAGGAGGAAGGGTGGTGACTGCACAACATGCTTCACCGCTGATCGCCACTGCTTACAGCCGTATCCACAGACTCTGCACGGGCTGGAGGACTTGCACCATGCCCCTCTAGACTTTACCTTTATCCACTCGTTTCTATCGTAAAAGGCTTTGACCAGATCCAGCCAGAGACATGTCATCCAACTGCACCAACGCTGCCGCAGCCGTCAGCGCCAGCAAAACCAAGACTAAAAAGAAGCATTTTATAGGACAGAAAGTCAAACTATTCCGTGCAAGCGAGCCTATTCTCAGCGTTTTAATGTGGGGAGTCAACCATACGGTAAATACATACTCAACACACAGATGATCACCTTGTTTTGATTTTGCTAGCTTAGTTGTTAGCCAGGAGCTATAGAGGACTTAAGATTTGGGATTGTCACCTTTCGTCACTGCATGATCTATAACAGTTTGTGCATGCAGAGAAATGCCCTGTGTTGAAGTTTAGCGTTGTGATTTATTTATTTATTTTGGTTTTCTTACACAGCCCTGTCGCATGCCTTGCCAGTGCACCGTGCAGAGATTTTGATGCAACTACTGTAGGTGTGACTGTCAATTTTCCCTGTGTATTACTGGAGAATGCGTTGAATATTTCACACAGAGCGGTCGGAAATCGTGAATTATTTATGCATCGTGTGTGTGTAGTGTATTGGGCTGTTTGGGAGCCAGGTCGTGATGGTTTGGCTTGAGTTGAGAGCATGCGAGGGGCAACAGGGAGGGGTGTGACCGCAGACTTGCATGCATGCAGACAGCAGCAGCATCTGTCAGCAAGATAAAATCCAAACAACAGTTAGTTTTTCAGTGTTTTCTATGTCAGTTCAACAAAGAAAACGTCTTTAAATGTTTCTGTTCAAGTTCTAAGGGTCATGTATTAGGTCAAATGGATTATTTTGAGCTTTTAACCTTGTTATTACTGTGTCTCTTGTCAGTGTCTTATCTTAGTTTCCCAATAGTATAGATTTGTGCATGTTTGAGTAGCCATGTTTGTTCAAAATTCAAGGCTTCACCGCTTAGGAAAAAAATCAGTTTCACCCACCACCTATCCTCACCCATTTGGTAGTTTAAAATGTCAAACTCTCATCAGCTCAAATGGTAATGCAATGCTGAAATTACAAACTCCATTTTGATAACGGTGAAAAGACTTGGGAAAATGTTGATACCATTTAAAATGCCCCCCTCCTGTAATATAAAAAAAATATATACATTATAGTGCTTTTATTTAATACTGTTGGATAGTGGGTATAATTTAGATCAAAACTATTCAAAGACTTCTCAATAATGTGAAATGTGTTTGTTCAGTATTGTACTGTTTTGCTACTTTCTTCAAAAAGTATTCAATTTCAATGATAGTTGTAGTGTTTATTAATCTGATTTCTGAATATGCTTTTGACAGCCCTATCATGAATGAATTGCAATGAGCTGAAGTTAACAAGTCTACGTTCGTTTAGGTATCAAAAAATGATAGATGACAGGAGAAAAAATTAGTCTTTCATACATTTACTTCAAGATATACAAACAATTATTCACAGAAAAATCTAATAAAAACAAAACAAAAATTCCTGTACGTTGTGCAGAAACAACACTCATTTAAATACAGAAGCGTTGACCTTTTTTCCTTTTATAATTTATTTTTTCCACATATATACTGGATCTTTTATCAGTTCAAGTATATTATGAACATGTGTCCTTTCACTGTGCACATCAATCTCCTGCGACAGTCCATGTAGATCCACTCCTGTCTGTTCCATCGTCTCACCATTGTCTATAAATAGGGCGAGGGACGTACGCTATATCGCGTTGCCTTCTGGCGTTGGGACCCTTTGACTATTAAAGCACATTGAAGGGCAGATTGCTCCATGCATGTTGAGTGATGGAAGCCTTTTGCACCGGCAGCAGTTTTTTCTTTTCTTGCCCACTCGGCGATACACTTTACCTTCCAACACAACTTTAAACAGAAACGCCCCCAGCCTCGCACAGCCTGGTAAAGGCCATAAGCGAGTCAAGTAAGGAGAAGCAGCCGACGAGTCTGGTGTCGTGAATTCAAAATGGTGTAGTAACAAGAGCCTGAATATGATTTGCTGGTTAAGTACATGCTAGGTATGTAACAAGTTAATCAATTAATCGCAACTAAATTATTTGAAATGATTGATTGGTCATTTAACCTTACATGGACTTACAGGTAAAAGCACTGAGAAGATTTTTTTCCAACTCTGATTCTGTAATGACTGCAGAATGAAATTAAAACGGGTTTACAAAGTATTTTTAATCAAACAACCCAATGTGAAACAAGTCCAGATGTTCTCCAGGGACATCACTTGAGCTTTTTTCTGGGTAAATATCTACTTCACTGATCTAAAGAGCGTGAAAATTCACATTTAGACTACTTTATTTATCCCACCAGGGGAATATCATAGGGCATAAAATCACATTAAGAATAGGTAAGACAAAGGCAAGCAAAAATTATCGTTCCTATTTTAACAAATCTTACATGTAAAAGGATTACTAGTGCAACAACAATCATAGGTAGGGTAAAAGTAACCTCTCTCACGACGACGGTCTAAACCCGGCTCACGTTTTCTATTAAGTGGGTGAACAATCAAATGCTTGGTGAATTCTGCTTCACAATGATTGGACGAGCCGCCATCGAAAGAATCTAAAAGCGGCGTCGTATGATGGCTTGTTATCCCTGTGGTAACTTTTCTGACACCACATGCTTAAAACCCAAAATGTCAGAAGTTATTTCTGTTTTCTATTTTATTCATAGCAAAGAATATTCCTTTTTTAGATATAGAAGCTTATATAGTTGCCGCAGTCAACTAATTATGTTCTAGAGATAAGTAAGTAAATAACTAATCTTTTATGTAGCCCCTTTCACAAGACCAGTCACAAGGCGCTTTACAATTGTTGGGGGCATTTGTCCTCTCACTCCACTCCAGAGATGGGAGCGGGGTCGCCGTACAGAGACTATTGTATATGTTTTTTAGTGGTAGGGGAAACAGGAGCAACTGGAGGAAACCTGCGCAGACACGGTGAGAAAGCGCTTTGTGACTGGTCCGTGAAAGGCGCTATATAAAAGGATTACTTACTTACTTAGAACATGCAAACTCCACACAGAAAGACCTGGAGGTGGACTCGAACCCAGGACCTTAATAGTATTTACATGGACTCTTCAGAATGGAGAAGCCTTTTCCCAAAGTAAACAGCAGTGGGCTAGAGTAACCACTGTGTTGTTTTAGTTTTATGGCAGAGAAGTGGCTACTCGCAGAAGGAGAAGTAACTCGACCTACATTATGCTGATATGATTCCACAATAGGCCCAATGATAAACAAAGTCATAACTATAAAATATCAGTAGATCTTCAAGTTCTTCAAAGCACTAAAATGTCATAGAATTATAATAATTTGTCCAAACCCTGTGCAATAGTTATGTAATGTATGGAATTTCGAGCATTTGTCACGCTTGTTCAGGCGATAAAACTGTCACTATTTCACGATTGTTGAGTTATGCCGGTCCAGTGCATTGTGAGACCATTTGTTTTGACTGATAAATAAGATAAGATAAGATAAACCTTTATTAGTCTCACAGTGGAGAAATTTCAGTGTCATCGTTGTGCACATTACAGCAGAGAAAGGAAATAAGAGCACTCAGATTGCACACATCAAAGTCTATTATTTAAGATCATAGACAATAAATTTAAGATAAAATAAAATAAGATAAACTCTGGGCTATAATTGCACTTGGTTCGGAGTATTTACAGATGTCTATATTATACATTAGCAGCGGAGAATATGAGCAGAATAAACATCAGAAATAATATCAATAGGTAAAGTGACTTGAATGGGAGAATTATCAGATGGATATGAATAATACAGTAAGATAAATACCCAGTTTATTAAGTTTTCTGCATAATATTTGTAATTGGACTCCTGTGATCTAGTGCCGTGTTGAATAGACGGGGGTATTCATAGTCTATAGTCCTGAGAGATTTTTTCCTCTTTTTTTTTGTCGATAAGAGTTGCCAATTAGCTCTGGTTAAAAGGATGATGTTTTTGTGTTTTCCTACCTGCTCACATCAAATCCAATCAAATCGACCCACTGGGACATCTTTAGTAAACCAATCATTTCTCCAACTGCACTCTTTTTAAACAAGTCAATGATGGATTTGATTACAGGATGATTGAGAGCGAGCATGTTCCCTCCAAGTTTGATCAATTTAGGACATGCACAGTCAAATCGGTTGATATAGAACTAGCTTATTTTGACAGCTGCGCAGTTTGTAATGGCAACTAATCAGTTATTTCAGGTTATGAAGACAGTGTTTTTAGAGGTATATCAAGAAATGTGACAAGTTTAGGAAAGATGGATGGAATGGGGCAATAGTTTTGTTGAATGAAAGATGTCATATTTGAGTTCAATCAATATATGAAATTGCTGTTTGTCCGTTCATGTCTCATCGAATTCACAAATTGTCTCAGTTTGTCATTTTTGAGGTAGTTACTGTCAAAAAAATACCAGGCAGAAATTGGGTGATCTCTATAGCAATAAGGAAGTGGTGAAATCTTCAGAAATGTTACATGGTGCAAGGAAATGCACTGAATCATAAAATAGTTATTCATTCAGTTATATTTCCAGTATATTATTGTGTGTTGGAAAGATTTTAGACATGGATTGAAATAGTCTCATATTGCAAAGAGAGAGTGCCTTACACGGTGCACCTTCTTATGTGATAAACAAAGAGGAGGTAAAAATATGTGTGTTTGTAAAAGCATTTGTACACTTTCTGTGGGAGGAGAAAAGTGTTGGATTATGGATGGATCCAACACCTTATTATTTTTAACTAATACATACTTCATCCATTCTGTTCAATTCAGTTCAATTTATTTTTGTATCGCCCTAATTCACAACAGCAGTCTTCTAAGTTGTTGACTCGCCAACAACAGATCAGAAAATCAAACCATCAGAACACAGGAAATTCAATAATGACAAAGACATAGGAGAAGAATGACCAATGTACATGAATGTCAGGGAGGTCTACATTGAGAGAGGGATCTGCTCTAGATCCAGGACTGAGGCTCCCAGGCAGGGAGGGGGGTGCAGCACACAGAAACTTATGAGTCTGGGTCAGGGAAGACCTAACTGTAATATACTCATGAGCCCTAAATATAATGCCCCTGACTGTATTCTATGCCCTACTGTAATCTACAGTAGGGCTGCATGATTAATCGCTATTTTACTGGTCACAATTAGCAAATACCGCAATTATTGAAGTTATCAACGTTTTGT